TCTTGCAGAGGTCTGCTACTGAGAATTGAACATCGAAGGGTCGTCTAGTTAAAAAAATACGTCGAAAAAAAAGTTCTAAACTCTAGTTTTTTTTTTTTTTTCGAAAGTCGTCTTGTTTTGAAATGAATTTATTCCATACATTTGCATCATACTGTACTATATATATCCATTTTATTATGTTCATAATTCATCAGAATATTCCTTTTCAAAACCATATCTACCAAGATTTTCATAGTTACAGTGACAACAACGATGTGACACTTCCCGGCCTAGTTTTATCAGGCTGGAATAATTAGAAATGTCTTCCGCCATATTCGATCCGTCATCCTGAATTTTACAATTTTCACGAAACAATTATTATCTCCTACCCCGAAAACCCCCAGATACCAATTTTGAATAGAATCGAATCATAATTACAAAACTCGATCCCCATATGATCTTCCTCAACAAGTAAATACCCTGTACATACCTATTATAAAAATTTTGAATGATTTTCTGTAGCACCCATGGACGTGACGTGACAGCAATGCCAGGGATGCCAGTAGACAAAACTAAAGTGTCTAGATCATTAAAAAAGTATGCAGCTATGATCTGTCCGTACCCTGTTAAGATGACTTTAACGCCAAAATTCCATCAAGAGACCCTACCAATACCTACTAACTGTTAGATTGAAAATTTCGTATGGACATTTTCAAACTCACTATCGCAGCTGCTTTCGATGGTGTATTGCGATAATTGCAATCAAACTTTCAAAAATCAAAATGTCAACTAATTTCATGTCAAATAGCTGTCATTCGATGTTTCGCTGCTATGGTAATCATCATCCGCATTTATCAAAACCATATCTACCAAGATTTTCATAGTTACAGTGACAACAACGATGTGGCCTAGTTCGGGAATTACATACAGTCGTATTAAAAAAAAGTGTACAAGTATATTGGAGGAAGAAATAAACGTCATCCTATTTGCGTAAAACGGGCTATCGGGAATGAATGTTTACCAAATGTTGACAGTAGAGTAATCATAGGTTCTCAAAAACACAAAGCATTGGCTGAGCCAATTTTACACAACGAGAACTAGAATGCCGAAATCTTCTACGCTTTTTTATTGAATACGACTTTACTTCCCGGACTTGGCCGGAAAATGCTACTTTCTCAAAGAAAAATCGTCCGGGAAGTGAGACGGTTGCCAAAAATACAATTTTTTCAGGCTGGACCGACTGTTCGTCCTCTTGGAGTCGGGCAGCTCGTCGGTGACGCGGTCGGCGGCGGCCAAGCAGCTGGGAGAGGTGCAGCGGCTGCACCCGCACGAGCTGAGGACGCTCCTCGGGCGCACCGCCGCCTACTTGAGATCGCCGTCGTGGGACACGAGGATAGCGGCCGCGGAGGCGGTCAGGGCGATAGTTGGGAATGTGCCGGCCTGGGAGCCGGCCGGGGTGGACGGGACGACAGGTATGTTTTGCGTATTTTCTCTCAAACAGGGGGGCAATTCTCGAATGTATTCGACTGACATTTGTATACATTTTGGTAGTGGTGCGCATGATTTCAATAAAAGTCGATTCTCGAACCATACGTTTCTGTTTATAATGATTTCTATACGTTATTCTACGATCACTTTTCAACGAGTGGGTGGGGACCATTCTATTCAATGAAAGGGAAAGTGTACTTTTCATTCGGAATTATGGGTTAGGTAATTACAAATGATCTAAATAATAAGCAAAGTACTATATTAAGTAAACAGATATGGCAAATGTTGACGAATTCTTGAATTTAATTGCCATCATGGATGTTGAAGAGGCTGAAATATTAGATGATCAACCGAGACGAGTATTCCATATGGGTTGCGTGCAAGAACTGTCAGATAACCGACGCTGGAGGCAAAACATTGACACTTTTCTTATTTGTTTACAAGTGATGGAAATAGTTTTTCACAATTATTTTGGCATACGAATCGTATTTTTCCGCTATTCATCAATTCGCTCATGCCATCACATTATGCTGTTGTGAAATGCACAAAAACTGCAGTGGAAGACGAAGTAATCCGGTTGGTACAATATGATTTAAAAGTAAGTACCTACTATAGTCTCACTCACATATAGTTTTCATTTTTGAAATTTGTAATTTCTCTGATTTCTCATCGGAATTCCTTCTGCGATAGGAGCTAATAGAAATACACCTGAAATTTCTGAAACAATGCAAGAAGATTGGATTCATGTAAGATGATCCGGAGGACTGGTCTGACATGCTGACGATCGTGTGTGTTGTAGACATTTTCAATCTATTAGCAGTATTAGCTTGTATTGCATAAAAGGCAGAAGGAATTTTAATAAGGAATGACAACATTTCATAATGATAACTATGTGAGATTACTATTTACCTGAAAAATCATATTCTTTAGTCTCTTGCTGCATTTTTTGTGCATTGTACGAAGGCATGCTCGGATTAATGAATAGCGCAAAAAACACGATTCGTTTGCCAAAATATTGTGAAAAACTGTTTTAATCCTTCGATTCTTCTGTAACCAAAAAAAAAAGTGAGGTTGTGTTTCAATAATTCACAGAAGAATGAGGTTGTGTTTCAATATTTTGCCTCCAGGGTCGGTCATTGTGCACGCGACCTATTATATTATTATTAATCTCACTCAGAAAGAGAGGTTAGAATTTTGTGTCATGCATAGAACATAAACCAATCCGGAAACTTACAGAAATCTCACAGAGAACATATTATTCGGACGTTTTTGCGCTGGTGCCAAATTGGATGTGTGAAGCGAGTACATTTTATAACGTATGCGTTGAAATTTGTTTCGTGAATATGACAAAACCTTTCCGTGCGATATTTTGTATACGCCTGAAAGAGTATACGTTCGATTTCGCATACACTCGAGAATTGCCCCCCAGGTCCCTCCATGTAGTGGTCGACGGAGTTCCATCTGACTCTCTGGGCGCATGCAAATCGGGCACCAAACAGGACCCTTCGCGGTCAGTTTCGAGGGATTATGAAAACTGCAATTTGGGCACCGAAGATTTAATTACGATTTAAGTACGAGTTGTGAAATATGCCGACTATTTAGTAGATACTCATATTTCTGAAGAGTCACTATTCCCACCTATTATCTGGGCAGAACATTCATCTACCATCACTCGTACAACAAATGCTTGTGAGTCTTTTCACAGTAATTTTAACAACTCCATATATGCTGAACATCCTAACCTATTCGTTTTTGAGGAAAAACTGAAAGAGTTTCAAACCGACACATATATTAAAATTCAAAGTGTTCAAAAACCTATACAAATCCATGACAGGAAAGTTAAAAAAAGACAGAAATTTATTGAATCAATGATTATTATATACCAAAATAAGGAAATCAATAGGCCACAATTTATTGAATGTTTGTCATTCCATTGTTATGTCAATAAATATAGTAGATTATACCACGAGTCAATAATGATAGCTATTATTCTCGAGGATTTTTTACGAACCGAGCCGCGTTAGCGGCGAGGGAGTAACATTCCGAGAGAATAATAGCCATTATTGCGAGTAGTATACTCTACTTTATTTGCGACTAATATATAGACTTGTGGTTTTTGAAGTATAATGCCATATATTAATCCCGCAGGGAATAATGGCGAGGGATTAATAGTCTTTATTCCCTGCGGGATTAATATATGGCATTATACTTCAAAAACCACAAGTATAATATATTAGTCGTGAATAAAGATATCTTATTTACCGACGGTGGAATGAAATTTCAATAGCAAGTAAAAAACTCATTGGTTTCCATAAAGGAAAAGTTGTAAACTACTTCCCTGGCTACTGCCACGCAAAATGATCTCCCGAAATCCATGCATCAACTCGTATAAACGAAAATCCGTAGATAACAGATGACCTCCCTGCCAATGTACACCGTGTCCCAGCCAAAATGTCCCCCCCCCTGTAAAAAATCAACCGCGCGATCGAATGACTTGAAATTTGGTCATCCAGTATATTTGATGATGCTCACTCGAATTATGCTATTGAATAAATCGTAGGTATACAGGGTCACACCGAAGTGCACCTCAAATATCTTATTTGAATAGGGACACCCAGTATATTATTCCATATTCAAGTAGAGTTCCTTATTACGAATTAAAAAATGTCGGGTTTGATGGGATTTTTTCAAACGACTACGAAGATATGGCAAAAAATCAAACAATTCAATAAAAAATGTATATGATTAGATTTAATCAAAATAACACGATTGAAATCGAATGAAAAGAAAATAATTAAAACCTCAACTGCTTAATATGTCGTCCATTCTGCTGCAAACATTTCCTAGCTCTTTTGATAACGTTCATTGTGACCCTATGTATCACGTTGCGATCAATTTGTGTGCATAAATTTGTGATTTCCTCTTTCATTTCTTCCATATTCACAATTGGTGACATAAACGTGTTGTTTCAAGTAGCCCCACAAATAAAAATCAAGTGGGGTGAGGTCTGACGACCGAGCTGGCCAGTTGCTATCACCATCGAGACAATTGGTGGTTATTAGATTTTAATTATTTTCTTTTCATTCGATTTCAATCGTGTTATATTGATGAAATCTAATCATATAATTTTTTTATTGAATCGTTTTATTTTTTGCCATATCTTCGTAGTCGTTTGAAAAAATCCCATCAAACCCGGCATTGTTGAATTTGTTATAAGGAACTCTACTTGAATATGGAATAATATACTTGGTGTCCCTATTCAAATAAGATAGTTGAGGTGCACTTCGGTGTGACCCTGTATACCTACGATTTCTTCGATAGCATAATTCGAGTGAGCATCATCCAATATACTGGATGACCAAATTTCAAGTCATTCGATCGCGCGGTTGACATTTTAGCTGGGACACGGTGTATATGGCGTCAATGAAACTGTTTTCAGCCACTTCGTGGAAGCGTGCTTCGGCAGCTTCTCGACGCAGCTGTCGAAGAACGGAGGCCCCTACAAATCGTTGGACAAGGAGGCCCAGGATCTGATGGCTAACCTGCACGAGAAGTTGGAGCGGAGGAGGAGAGATCTGCAGACTGGGCTGAGCGTTACGGTGAAGAGCAAAGTGAAACTGAGCATGCCAGAACTGAAGGTAACCTCACATTCGAAATGTTGATTATTTGTTTTGTGACTACCACCGACAAATGGTCAATATGGCTTTCGGAAATCCTGTGATACTGAATGTGCAACACTGGATGTTATTACTGACATTCAGCTGACATTAGATTCAGACTACAGATATGGACTCTGATCACTGGATTTGTGGAAGGCATTTGATACAGTCAATTTTGAAATTCTGTCAATGAAATTAACTCGAATAGGAATAAGAGGTAAAGTTTACTCTTGGTTTGAAAATTATCTATGGGAGATTCATTTTCTTCAATAAGAAACATATCTTGTGGTGTGCCTCAGAGATCAATTCTCTGACCTGTTATTTCTTATTTATATAAATTTTATCTCAACTCAACTCAACTGTTATTTATTACAGAAAAAATATACAAGAAATAAAAAACTAAATGGAACAAGATCTCGCTTCAATTGCATTATGGTTACAAGATCATAAATTGACACTCAATTTCGATAAATCTTCCTTTACGTTCATCTTGAAAAGATTAATACCTGATGACCAAATAGATCCCTTAAAATTCGGTAATTTTTGTATAAATCCTACAAAAAACTCGAAACTCCCAGGTTCAACTATAGACCAGTTTCTTTCTTGGCCATCGCATATTCAATTGTTCAGGAAAAAAATATCTCCCATTGTTGGTATATTATACAAATTGAGGTCTTTTATACCTCTTTTAATTACGAAATTAATTTATTTCAGTTTGATTCACTCTAAATTGCAGTATCTGATATCGATCTGGGGTACTGCAGCATGATCTGTTTTGAAACCTCTGAAATCTCTTCAAAATAAAGCCATAAAATGTATTTATAAACTACCATTTCTGGAACCAACATCTAGACTATACAATCCAAGAGATCTGCTAGATATTGACTCTCTCTTCAAAATGAAAGTATGCATTTCCAGTCATTTCACTAAGAATAAGAAAAAGCACTCGAATCTTACTTTTAATATCAATTCATGAGCATCACAACAGGCAAATAGAACATTTGAAAACTGTCAAAATAAAAACCCAATTCGGGAGAAAATCATTGTATTTTTGTGGAATAAATATTTATAATAGCCTACTCAACAGAATAAAATCTCAGGGTATAACATGAAGTTAGTTGTAGTCATGTTGTAGCCATCTTGTGGCAAAGTTCTGAGGTAGGATACAGAGATATCGCGACATACACTGTATGGCGCTGCCATCTATAGTCACACATACAGACCCCTACGTCTATACGCTACACAGTGGTACTACAAGTAAATCACTCTGCTGACAGGTGGCACTACCTGACATACTTGAGTGGAAATTTTCCACCACCTATTCAACTGCTAAATCTCATAACTAAGAGATCTAGGATGAACAGAGTTGCCCCAATTGTCAGCAGGAGCGAGACAGTACTGTTTCGACCCACCAGGTCTCATCAGCCGCTCTCGGTCTGCTGACAACTGGGACAACTATACGCATCAAGTAACATCAACTTTCTTATTTTAAATGGGAACTATGTTTTTTTTTCTTTTCGCTTTATTCAGCATTCAATTCCCTTTCAAATGACATATCACAAGTTGGTATCTAACCAGAAACTAGATCAGAAAAAAATTATTATTGAAATTCACCGAGTTGGCCGTGGAAGCAAAATGAAAGCCAAAAATTGAAAAGTTGACTATGGAAACCATACGTCACTTGATAACAGTTGCTACTACTGTGATATTTTATTTTCATTCGTCGGCGTTATAAAAAGCCGCCAAAAAAATATTGGAAAAATTGGGAAAAAAACAATACTCTGTAGGTCCATAACTTAAATAGGAACATATAACTTTTTCTTGCCTGTACTATTCAGCATAACCATTCCTTTCTAATGATATAATAGAAACTAGAAAGTCATTTTTTGGCTTTCATTCTGCTTCCACGGCCTACTCGGTGAATTTCAATAATAATTTTTTTCTGATCTAGTTTCTGGTTTGATACCAACTTGTGATATGTCATTAGAAAGGGAATTGAATGCTGAATAAAGCAAAAAGAAAAAAAAAATAGGGTTTCCATTTCAAATAAGAAAGTTGATGTTACTTCCGGTCAGACCGGAAGTTAACTTCGATATGTCTTATGTCATTATATCGACGCTCCAAATTTCACAAACCTACTTCATACAATAACTGAGATATTCCGTAGGCAATACTTCCGTAGCCACCCGGTATATCCCATTTCGCTTAGAATATGCCTATATCTTCTGGACGGAAATGTTTACTGCAAATATTTTCCTAGTTTGTTAATATGATCTCTTTGTATAGAATACGATAGTCGTAGAGAAAGACAAATCATTATTCTGCTACTCTATCACGTCGGTGCCCGATTCCAGATCGCCATCCAGCAAGGCGCCATGATGCTGGAGCGCTTCTACCCGACGCACGTCTTCCCGAAGCTGGGCCGTACCGAGGACCAGTTCTGGGACGGCAAAGCGCTCACGCCCGGCGACTGGGCGGGCCTGGCGGGGCTGCTCTACTCGGAGCTGTTCAGCCTCGACGTGCTCACGCCGCTGGATCGCTGCGACACCAGCTTCCGGCTGGATCCGCACCCGCAGGCGGATCTGTCGCGGTACACGGAGATGGTGCAGTGTGCGCAGCTGGGTGAGTATATTACAAGGCTATTTAACTCTGTTTATACTACCCCAAATGATAATAACACTATTGAAGATGATACACTACCCTTGAATACACCAACTATATCACTTGAGAAATTAAGTGAAGATGAAGTCCAGGCTGCTCTGAAAAAACTCAAATCCAAACATACCTGTGGCTATGATAATATACCTAGCTTTTTTGTAAAAGATTGTGCTTATGTTTTAGCAAAACCCCTCCAAATAATATATAACAGATCGTTAAACACATGTACATTTCCCGATGTTTGGAAAACTTCAAAAATATGCCCAATATTTAAATCTGGAGCTATCAATCAAATAAGAAACTATCGTCCCATCACTTTATTGTCAAATTTCGCAAAGGCTTTTGAAATCTCGATCTATAATAGAGTATTTCCCAATGTAAAGAATAAATTATCACTTGACCAACATGGCTTCATATCTAAGAGATCAACCATCACCAATTTAATGTGCTTCACACAAACTATCAGCAATGCTATAGATAATCAGTCTCAAGTCGATACCATATACACAGATTTTTCAAAGGCCTTTGACAAATTGGACCATATAATACTAGTATCTAAATTGAATAATCTTGGCTTCGACACTAACCTACTAAACTTCTTTCAATCATACCTTAGTAATCGGTCACAATATGTTGAATACCGTGGTCATAAATCGCAAATTTTCATTTCTACCAGTGGGGCACCTCAGGGAAGCAATTTAGCCCCTCTTCTATTTTCATTATTTGTGAATGATATAGATGAAAATATAACAAGCAACATTATTTTATTTGCTGATGATCTGAAATTATTCAGTCATTAAATCTCATAATGACTGTGAATTACTCCAAAATGACATTGACCGTCTAGCATTTTGGTGTGAAATAAATAAACTACCCCTGAATATACAGAAATGTCATTACACTACCTATACTCTGAAAATCAAACCAATCGAATACACCTACTCAATAAATCAAGTTTTTTTGGATAGGTGTGATGTAACAAAAGATCATGGTATTAACTTTGACTCCAAATTGAGCTTCTCATCACACATTATTAAAACTGCATCAGCAGCGAAAAACATGCTTGGTTTGATTTTCAGAAATTGCAAAGACTTCAAAAATGAAGATAGCCTCATTGCTCTCTTTACCTCATATGTGAGATCACGCTTAGAATATAATAATAATAATAATAATAAATGTTTTCATTGTCTCAATGAAACAAAAGGCAGAGTTCAACTCGCCGATAAATCGACAGCTGCTCTTCCACTCAACCCTAATACTGGCTCGCTGATTTGGTCTCCTATTTACTTGAATCACATTCATCTGCTCGAATCAATGAAATTCATGAAGTATATTGTATATAGAATTGATGGAATTTATCCTGAACAAGGTTTGGATAATAACTTATTATTAAACAGATTTTCACTATTGTCTCTGGAGGACCGTAGAACTTACCACTCTTGCATATTTATCTATAAACTCACAAACAACCTGACTGATTGCCCAGAGTTATTATCTCAACTAAATTTCAACATACCTCGTTTGAACAATAGAAGTTCACTTTGTTTTTATTTACCTACTCCAAGAACAAATATACTATTGAAATCTCCAATTCATTCGATGTGCAAAAAGTTCAATTAGATATGCGAAAAAACTGATATATTTTCAACTCCCATTGGAGTGTTCAAAAAGGAAATAAAACATAATATTTTTTCTACCTTGTGATGTTTACGAGGCAAATATGAAAAAATCCCTCTTTATTCATATGTTATTCATTAATACATGTTATTATGTTTCCTTCCGTTTTCTTTTTTTTATTATCATTATTATTTACAATTGAAATCACTTTCTACAACTACTGAATGATTTATCAAAATACTTTATTTGGCTCTTAGATTTTAGTTATTGTTCACAGTTACATGTACACATTGTAAAAAGTTGTCCTGTTAATGGGTCTTGTACCTGTTTGGGCAATAAATAGTTTTTTTTTTATAAGGCCTGACGTCACTGTTTCCCCAGTCGTCTTTTGTCGAGCGGCAAAATGAAAATGGCGGAGGTGATAAACAAAACAAACAAATTTAGCATTGTGCAATCCATTGAATTTTGATAAATTCTGAAGTTTTCCAATATGTCTTTGTATTTACCACATAGTTTACTGTTTCTCCAAAACATGCAGCAAGTACAGTAGACTGTGGAAACAGAAATCTAGAGAGATATGTTCACTTCCTCAGTGCTCCTATTGTACAGACACATTACAAAAACTCACAGTCAAATTCTAATTTCAATATCACTCCATCAGGGCTGATTTGTGTTGGCATTTAAGGATAATAAGGTTGAGCTACTGATAAAGCCATTTTTTAATAAAGACAATTTCATTGGGAAGTCTGAACCTAATGATGGAATCATTGTGGATAAGGGCATGCTGGCTGACTGACAAGGGATGTGACAGATAATTTCTTGAAATTGATAAGGGCACCATTTCTTAGAAAGAAGAAAAAATTAACAAAAGAGGATTTCCTATTGGATGAATTGAATGATTCCAACTCAATTGTTTTACTTCAGTATCAATTTGGAAAATATTATTGTTCGAAATTGAAAGAAGTAATAATAAGAAAATGAATCAATAAAGAAGTCATTATCACAATTCATTCTATTTTATTAATGCAATAAAAGTGCAACATGATGGAAATATCTTTAAGATATCTTCCTCATAAGATTAACTAAATTAACAAATTAACTAAAATTTCTATGTAAGTTCTGGAGAAAGAAGAATTATACAAGAAAATTAGTTTCTTTTAAGTTCATTAGTGTCATTTTAGGGCCATAATTCCCAACTGAATATCGTGATGATTTTAATTGAATTGAAATTTTAAAAATTTAAACAGCAGATTTTACAAAATTAAATTAGTACTAGGTCATTCACACAAGTAAATCGCGCGACAAGCTTTCATGATAATTGAGTATAATGAGGTTATAAGTTGATAGTTGAAATTATAAAGAAATATTTTTATTTATTCTTTTCATAGTGTTTAAATAAAATCTTTTTGTTTTATTTTTTTTACTTTTAATTTATTTTATGTTAATAATGAGTATGCGTTGTTCAAAATTGTTGAATTTCAGAGCTCATTTCAAACGTACCGTCACGGTCGCCATTTGGCTATACGTCGAGTAAATGGTAGCTTCATGTTTTATGCTGTTTCCTTATTTGTCAGATAATCTTCCATCTCCACTCATGAAGCAAGGTTGTCAAGTCACCAATTATAATCAATTTATCAAAAAGATTATAGTCCTCTTGTTGAATAAAACACGAGATAAAACATAATAAAAGGAAGCCATGATATAATAGTTCATTCTTTACTTTTTCGAACTATCAGCATGTCTACTCCATAACAGAATATCATGTTGATTTTGAAGACTTGGCAAAAATGTGCTGAAAGCTGAAAACTGACAAGGCACCGCCCACAATTCGTGATAACGTGTTGTTACGTTTCCCATCAAATGTCCTGTAGTGTAAATTGATATAATAATATTATTATCAACACATTTATTATGAGCAATAAGCCACAAATCATAAGGGAATATTTTGAGACAATTGATTTTTTATGTCTAATTAAGAATATAACCAATACAAAATTGAAGTTCTTATCGTTTTTCAACATATGGCAACTGTGCCTACTTACGAAATCCGGACGTCAGATTTTACTCGCGGTAAATGTTTAGCCGTTTGAAAATTACCGTGGCATTATTGTTGATTTAAGCACCTTAAAATCGAACGAAAAATTCTAAAAAAATATTCTATTTAAGTAACAAAAAAAATTAGTCCACTTGTCAAAATTTGAAAACTCAATATGGCGGACGAGTTATGCAATTAGGATCCGATTCTATTCAAAATTGGTATCTGGTGGCTTTCGGAGTCGGAGATTATTATTTTTTCGTCAACATTTGGAAATTCAAGATGGCGAATCCAATACGGCGGACGAGTTTTGTTGTTATAATCCGATTCTATTCAAAATTGGTATCTGGGGGTTTTTGTGGTAGAAGATTATGATTCTGTTCAGATTCGAAATCAGTACCCGATAATACGTATGAAACGAAATAAAACTAAACTACCCCTTAACTTTTCAATAAAAAATACTATTAAACTGGATTGGATTTTTGATAAGCACAGAATCGAAGAGGTGGTCGTATACAGGGTGCGGCACCGAAAACGAAACAGAGGCTCTGTAGGTCGCCAAAACCGGATTATCAAAAAAAACTGAAACAGGTCAACTACATTTTCGAGGGGGACATCTTTCTAAAATATTTTCAGCCCTGCGGCGTTGCCGCTTCTAAAGAAAAGAAGCAACAACTTTGTTATTCCAAATGGAACACCTTGTATTTTATTGCATTTTTAGATTCTCCCCGAAGAGCTGATTTCATCAATGCATCACACTTGGGGTCTAGCTGTAATGGTTTCAGGGATATAAAGTGTTCAAAATCGAGATTTTTCAACTTTGACATTTTTTTGTGTCGAAACTATTCATTATTGGTCGAAACGGCTCTCATGTCCCCATCTCAACTTGTGATTTACTATCTACTGACATTTAATTGGAACAGATACAGGGTGATCAGAATTCTGAATCTTGAACCACCCTGTATCTGTTCCAATTAAATGTCAGTAGATAGTAAATCACAAGTTGAGATAGGGACATGAGAGCCGTTTCGACCAATAATGAATAGTTTCGACACAAAAAAATGTCAAAGTTGAAAAATCTCGATTTTGAACACTTCATATTTCTGAAACCATTACAGCTAGACCCCAAGTGTGATGCATTGATGAAATCAGCTCTTCGGGGAGAATCTAAAAATGCAATAAAATACAAGGTGTTCCATTTGAAATAACAAAGTTGTTGCTTCTTTTCTTTAGAAGCGGCAACGCCGCAGGGCTAAAAATATTTTAGAAAGATGTCCCCCTCGAAAATGTAGTTGACCTGTTTCAGTTTTTTTTGATAATCCGGTTTTGGCGACCTACAGAGCCTCTGTTTCGTTTTCGGTGCCGCACCCTGTATGTATTTATGCAGGGTGATTAATTCAGTCGTTCCACACTTGCCATTGTCTTACCCAGTTTGGTTCAAAATGAAAAATCAGTCAATGATTTCTTCAATGTGTAATTTGTCTCAAAGAAAAATTATGGTTGTATCTGAATATTTACAGATGTTTGAAACTCTTGTCGCAAATTATATTATACAACATTCTTTTACACAATGAATTCATTTTCATCATGTGTAATTTAAATACAGGTGCAGGTGGTCCAGATTTGTTGGGGAATGTATACACTCCAAGGGGAAATATCCAGGTGCATTCGCCGTATTTGGATGTATCTGCATTCAATCCTAGATCGAAATCATCTCCTACTGGAAAGAAAACCGACAAGAACGAGTAAGTGGTTATACAAAACTGAATATATATTCAATTCAATTCAAAATATGCTTTATTGTCATAAGTAAAAACACACTTGTTGACAAAGCTTGTTAAATTACATGAAAATAAATAACACAAAGTACGACAATAGTATGACAAATAACAAACAACATTCAAAAGCTCGTATCTATGTCTACCTAGTTGAAAATATATTAACTTCATTTCAAATTCAAAAAAGTTATACCTATTCAGTAAATCAAAACTCCAATGAAAAATATTCATCCAGGCTATAGAGTGGAGTTTGGACGAGTAGTGCTTTGACTTTAGTGCGGAACTTTTTATCACATGATATTTCTTTGATCTCAGTTGGAAGGTGATTGAATATTTTTATTCCATTATAAATGATCGAGTTCTTGACCATAGTGGTTCGGGGTCTTATCAACTTAATTTGACCATTCTGCCTTGTATTGTATCGTGACGAGACAAGTTGTAAGGCATATTTGTTTTTTTGAATTAGAGACGCTGTTTCTAATATGTATAAACAAACCACAGTTAAAATATTATAATTTTCAAATAAGTCCCTACAGCTATCTCTAGATTTCGCCCGGTTTATATATCTGAGGGCTCGTTTCTGCAAAACAGAACTCTTCTGGAATAAATGATCACTGCAGGCCCCCCAAAATGCTATTCCATATCTCAAGTGAAACTCAATTAAGGCAAAATATGCTGTTCTAGCAGATGAAGATCCTAATTCCGTGGCAATGTTTCTTACAACATAGCATCCAGAAGCCAGTTTTTTACACAAACCTGTCACATGTTCTGTAAACAACAACTTATTATCTATGAATAAGCCTAGAAACCTAGTAGACAATTTATTTTCTATCACCTCACATCCAATATTCAAGTTGGGAATATTGCAATGGAAAGTCAGGATGTTGGTTTTCTTAATATTTAGAGAAAGGAGGTTTGATTCACACCAATCTTTGATAATCTTTATATCCTGCATTATATTTGATTCTAATATAGAGCTATTCTCTTCTTGCCAAAGGATGGTTGTGTCATCAGCAAATAATGTGATTGTACCGTTTATATTTAGAGAAGCCATATCGTTCACGTAGAGAAGGAAAAGGATTGGTCCAAGGACTGAGCCTTGTGGCACTCCGTGCTTTATGTTTGAGGCCTTTGAGACGCTGCTAGTTTTAACCGATTGTTGTCGATTGATGAGATAAGTCTCGAACCAGTGCAGACTTCTATTCATAAATCCATATCGCTGCAGCTTCCGCAGCAATATTTCGTGATTCACGCAGTCAAAAGCTTTGGAGAAATCACAAAATACTGCCGCAGCTGCTGCCCCTTTGTTGAGGCTCGAGTACACCTGATTCATGAAAGAAAACAGGGCATCATTGGTGCTTTTCTTTGGCTGGAATCCGAATTGTTGTTCTGTCAATATATTATTTTTCTTTAAGTAGTCCAACACTGATTATAACCAGTTTTCCAATTATTTTCGCTAACGTTGGTATAAGAGCAATGGGGCGGTAGTTGTTTGGATCTGATGAATCCCCACCCTTATGAATAGGGATAACTATAGATTGTTTAAGAAGAGCAGGAAATTCTCCACATCGAAATGATTTATTTATGAGCATTACAAGAACCGATAATGCTGAATCAGGAAGGTTTTGGAAAACGTTCGCTGATATTTCATCAACTCCTGATGCATTTTTCTTCTTTATTCTATGAATTACTGATTTCAGTTCAAAAATGTTGGTATCTCTCAATTGGAATTCATCATTCAATTCAACAGAGTTCATGATATCAAGGGGATCATGAGTTGCCTTCACTTTATTAGTTATATTCTAACCGATCACCTCGCAAAATGTCTTGTTGAAGTAAGTGACAAGGTCCCGTTTCAGAGACGTGTCTGCCATGCCGGGATCTCTGAAGAGGAGCACAAAAACCATCCTGTGGATGCCATGGAAGAAGCACAGCCGTCCATATTCACCCGATAAAATGGTGATACCACTTCCTATACCCCATCCAGCCCACATTGCTGTCACCGTTAACAATAGAGATTCGGACGATCCTATTCCCCTAGAGTCTGATATTTGCCAAAGCATATTGAGGGGGATCGAAGAGAGTCATGCTTCTCCAGACGATAGTGGTAAGTGCGATTTTTGTCATCAATCTGATAGCAAACTATTTCCCCATGATGTATAGTCTTTACAAAGTCAGTTGAAACACTTCCGTTCTTCAAGATGATACGTATTTTTATTCGCAATTAAAATATTATGGCATTCTGGAGGCCTTTCGAGGAAGCCAACGAAGTTGATGATTCGGAGCTAGACGTTACCACCGATACAACAAGGCCAGCAGACTGACGTAAACAGCTCGTGACGTCACCAAGAGAGGCCAGTGTTTTATTTTATCGCTTGTGGACTAACGCGTCAGTTCGTGTTAATTCATCGGTGATTCACGTATTCAAAATAATTGTCGGAAAAATTACTGTTTTGTGAAATATTTTGTGTTGTGATCGGCGAAATAACAATGCCTTTCAAATGTTGTGTTCTCTTTTGTCGGGGAAATTATGTGGGTGGTTCAAAAGTTCATGCTTTTAGTTTCCCGTTGGACGAGGAGCTATCGAAAATGTGGGTATATGCAATTCACCGCGAAGATTTTACTCCATCTAAGTTCAGTAGTAAACAGAGCTTAATTTATAATGATGAATTAATAATAGAAGACAATTACTCTCTCATAAAAAGTATAAGTAGAGGAAAAATAGAAAAGCTTTGATTGTGCAGTTAGTTTTGTATTCGTATATTATAGTCAACAAAATCATCTCTGAATTCGAGGAAATTTTCTTGAATGTTCATAATAAACGGGCATTTTTAATTCTCATTCTCAAATTTCTTTCTGAAAACGGTCATTTGCCTCGTGGCACTGAATGCAGAATTCATTCCAATGATCAAATTGCAACTATCATATTAACATGAACTACAAACACTCTACTTAAAAAGGTTAAACTGCATTTATCATGATATTTATCATGAAGATATTTGATTAAAAAGTTCCAAATTTCACCTTCTTTTTCATCTGTCTTCTGGATGGCATTTAGAACAAATGTCCCTTCTTTTTTCATCATATTGGACAATTTATATATAATTCAACTATAAATATGATTTTCTTGAGATTAATCCATATTTAGTGAAAAGAAGGACAAATATCATTCAAAATAATGGCGTGTATAATGTCATTCGAAAGCAATCTATTGACATTTGACATCTCGTATTTTGATTGACTATTGATTAAATGGTCGTCATCTGGAATGCTTGTTCACTAAATATGAAAAACTCGCCATAAAAATTATATTTCCTGTTGAATTTTCTATATAAAAATGTGCCATCGAAGTACATCATGAGTATATAAAGTGTCCAATGACAAAATAAGAGCAAGTAGCTTCAAATGCCCCCAACACAAGGGGAGAAAGAAGGCGAAATTTCGAACTTTTTCTTGAAATATCTCAATAAATAGTGGTTTCATTATAAAATTCGGTTTATCAGACAAAAATACGTGAGTACCGAAAAAAAATTTCAAAAAAAAAACCATCGCATGATAAATGCAGTTTTACCCTTAAAAATTACGGTTTCAAGTGTAACGATCCACTTGGGTGAAAAATCCAACAACAGAAAATTGAAAACACCCACTGGTTATTTTTTCAGGTAAAAGGAATTCTCCAAGATAAATATAGGTAATTGTAACAAACGGCATGTCAATCAAAATAAAATACATTTTCCACAATTTTCTTTCGATCAATCTCACGATAAGTTTATGTTCTGCGGGGCCTGTATAAGTAGGTGTGAAGTTTACCTTCACCACACTTTTTGCCAATATATTTAATTCGAATGGGTTGCTGTAGGTGGATATTTGTGTTTTATCCTGGTTTTTGCTTTAAAACTTCGTTTTTCCATAATAAAATCGAATGGGGTGCGAAGAAGGGCTCAGTTGACGACTGGCATCCTTTTTTAACCGGAAGCCCTTCAAAAAACAGCTAAATCGGCTCAATGATGATCCAAAACTAAAATCGAAATACGCGGTCGCCTTATAGCGCTATAAGCGCTTGTCGTTTCGAGCCGCTGGTTAGGCCTCACTAAGTGACGTCACCCACGGAGCATGCAGGCCTTGTTGTATCGGTGGTAACGAGCTAGAGCATGCAGAGTTCGCCCATGAAGACATACAAGTTGAAACTCAAAGAACTATTTTGAACAACAGATATTGACGATTTTGCAGCAGACGTCACTGCCGATGCAAAACAATGGTCTGATAATGATAAATTATTTTTGAATGAGACAAAAACAGAGGTATGCTATGTGTTGCAGTTATGGGGTAATTCAAGCTTCAGACACCTACAACGAGTGTTTACACTACAAAAAGCGGCTGTACGAAGCATTGCAAAGGTTCATTATAATGAACATAGCCTACCATTTTTTGAAGAGTTAGGTATTATGACCTTACACTCACTAATTGTCTATGAAAATATCATACATGTTTAAAAAAATTATATACATCCACTACACACTCAGACATTCATGATTATAATGGGGAATGTATAATCTGTGATTCCATAGCAATATATCTTTTCACTTCAGTGAGTTGATTTCAACTGGTGCTATTTTAATTTCATTCGATTTTATCACTTGTACTTTCTTTGTTTGTAATGTTTCTGTTTATTTGTACGACGTGTCCATAACTTGTATACCATGGATATAATATATTCAATTCTCAAGTACGAGAATAATGGTTCTTCGGAAACCCAACTTGACAGCAGAACTATTTGGTGAAAGCTGCTGCTCTGACCATTTCTCAGATAGTTCTCAGCAACTTCAGTTATCGTTATGGATAATGCATCATTACATTCACGTCAACAAACGAAAATTCCGGGCACCATAATGAAAAAGTCTGGTATAATTCAATTTATGGAAGAAGAAGCATGGAAACATCTCCCAGAAAACTGAGAAATGAGTTACTGGAAATAATCGATTCAGAAGGAATATGTACTTGATCAAAAATAATCAATCACCGCAATTGAGTGAGTCAGTTTTTAATTGCATCAGGGCAGTAGTTGACGAGATAAATGAAAGTGACATGAGGTGCGTCTCATGTGATGAAAAAATGAAAGACAAATAGTTTCTTCACAAGTAGCCAAATGAAAAAAACTGAGTTTCTATCTTAGTTTTTTCAATATCGTGAGTTATTTTCGGATGATTTTTTTAAACTCAATAGAATCATTGGCAATCTTCTGGGAACGATTAGGGTATGAAAAATATTCTGATAATATCGTCTAAGTAAAGATCTTTGGATTTCTAAGCCTATCAAGCATCGAAATATCATTGTATTCGGGCCACAGCCAACTGTATGTATCTCAATAAAATGCAATTCAACAGGCAATCAATGAACGAATATCAAATTGTGATACATAGTTGAATAGAGAATTTCAAGGCGAATAAGAAAGGCTACAAAAATATAAAGGATGCTATTTGAAGAAGAAAAGTTGGATCTATTTCCAATCAGACAGGTGGTTGAAAAAAATTGTCATTGGGTCCAAGGGAAGCGCCATCATCAATAATATAACCCTTGTCAATTTCAAATTTTTATCTCTCCAAATAAAAAAACTACAGGCTGTTACATGTCTCCTGTGTCACCCGGTATACAACTCAGGACAGAATGCAATTTTTCCCTCGGTGCTTTGTATCTCTCGGGCTTCGCCCTCGAGCTACAAATTGCACCTTGGAATAAATCTCGCATTTCTGTCCCTTGATGTATAATGTACTATTAATCCGTGGTATAACTAACTCCCCATTCCTCTCCGCCTCCTGCAGGCATCGGCAGGTTCAAAGGCGGCCCCGACTCCCTCGACACGCCCAGCTCGAGCTCCGACGACCCGCCCGACAGCCCGCGACCCGCCCCCTCTGCCACAGGTGGGCGGAGCTCAGCGGACGGAACCGCCCACCGCTGGACGCTGAGCAACTGGGGCCAGCGCAAGCGCACCGACTCGGGAAGCGTGCGCGTGGATCTGGCCAGCCCAGAGGACGTCACGTTGGACAGCGACAGCACCAGGGTGGTGTTCTGCACGTACGGTACGACGGTGTGATGGGGTGAAGACTGATCGGCTGGCGGAATTGATTGACTATGTTTCGTCTCTTCATCCACCTTCATACTTGAATCTTTCGTTGAAAGAGTTATTAAAAAGTTTTATGGTTTCGTCTATTTGGAAAGTCTTTAAAAGAAACAATGCGGAATGGGGAACTTCGCTCAAAAATGCCAACCTTAAAACCTCTACCAATGTAGAAGCAATATTATGCAAGTTTGATTTCTCAAATAGCTTTATTTTTATGAAATCTGATCGTAGGAGTCTACTCAGATTTCTAATGGAAGTTATTCAGAAGAAAAATGAGTTTTTGTGAACTTCAAATCTGACCGGTTGAAAATCATGTTGGATCTGCGGTACGTCAATAGTAAATACTGAAATGTCAATATTTTCAATAGTGTCAGTAGAATCACGAGTAAAAAACGGTATATCAATGAATCACTGAATCGGTAAGTTCGCATTACGTTCGGACTTCGAATGATGAATGATCAAGAATCTCTCATGAGAAACCTGCAAAACTATAATAAACTGGATGTGAGGGTTCCAAAGTTATCTGGTCTAGGGCTACTCTCGATTCATCGTAATGGTAATCAACATAACAATGTTATTAGGTCTTCATATCTATGGTTATTCATTCATATTTCCCCACTTCCATAATATCTCATGCTATAATAAATATTGAGATGGTCGAATACTCTTGTGATTTCAGCTACAGTTGAACAATCTGTGTCTAATTATTTGAATAAAGGTAAGTATATTATTTTGATATTGTTGTATTCCGACATTTGTTATATCAATCAATCAACTTTATTATTCCCAAGAAACAACATTTGTTTATAGCAGGGAACATGGTGAATACATTATATTTGACAAAATAAAATAAAGAAGACAGTAAAATAAGATTCACACTCAAGAAGAATAATTTTTTTTCAAGTTCAACTGAAAATGATTCTCAATTGACCAGTTTTTATCCAAGGTGATCCGTGTAAGCTTTGAGAGTATTTATTGAATGATTTCTTCTCATTATCGTTATTTTTTTACTTGGAAAATGCTTATTATTACATAGGTATGTTAGTGTTCTCATTTATGATATCGGCTGTAATTTCTTCGTTTCCACACAGATATGGTTTCATCGACTTGAAGACACTTGGGTTATTTTTCATTTTAGGAAAAGGTTGATACTTCATTATTTCATTCTTACGAAGTCATGTCTGGATCGATTTTTAGCACTCAAATGAAATATATTCCTTCTTCCTACTGCAACGATCAAACTTCTTCACCAAAGAATGATAAATATAAGTGTTGTCCATAAATAAAATGATCTTGGATAGGTAACAAGAATGTGACAAGTAATGAAATTGAAGATGATTTGACATATTTCAGAATGAAAGCAACATCATTTTCGACTAATGAGAATTGGAATTTACGAAAATGAATTTTTCCTCTAAAAAACTTCCATAAGTGAGCTGAGTAGACTCCTACAATCAGGTTTCATCAAAATAAAGCCATTTGAGTAATAAAACTACCATAATGTTGCTTCTACATTGGTAGAGGTTTTTAAGTTGGTTACTTGGAGAGAAGTTCCCCATTGGACAGATTTCTGTTTTTTATTCACTGGAAATTACTTACTGTTATCATGCAAAAGCCAAATTGATCTACAGGTTACCTACCAACCAAATTTGTTTCTCTTGAACTATTTTTTCGGAACGTATGAAATTATAGAGGCTAATATTTCTATATTATCTTTCATTTGGGTGGGTCGATTCTGTTTGCAAATAGCGAAATGGTCGTAGAAAAAATTGCTATCATAGCAATATTTGAAGAATTGGAATTCTGATCATCGATTTTGGGCAATATGATCTGTCAATTTCGATAACATCTTGTCAGTTGACGGTGTTTTGCTATCTCGGCTACATCCTTTGCTTTTGCACTACAATGTCTTTCAAGTGTTCGGAAATTAAGAAAATAGAAGCTTCAATTTGTAGAAGAATTATGAGACAACAATTTCGTCATATTAGAGACACTAGCAATTTGAGTTGCCAGATGAAGAATGTATCAAGCTATGTTGCTTGAATAGGCCAGTAACGTGTGTTCTTTTGGTAATATAAGAATCGGAATTTCGATATTTTTTAACTACTACCAAATTCAGCAAATACCAACAATCTGCTAATTCGAATAATATAATTTTGAGTATTATGTCAGTGCAAACTAATTGGAGTATCTAGATAAACATAAAGTCTTCTTCAAAAAATAATGGCACTTACGGTACCTAAAGGTGGATTCGTGCAGCATCATTATGTTGGCCAACTTTTAACTTTCTCACTTTGATTGAACCAGGTTTTCTACTAGTGCGCAACTAGTACGCAGATGATCGCGGATTGGTTTCATCGACTGGAAGAGAAGGCATGGTTTTTTTTTTGCAATTGCATACCTCGTTGGTCCCAGCACTGGGGGGACCAGACGCCTCATAAGTCGAAACTTGTGCGGGGTTAGGTAAACATACAAACACAAACATCCATGGCCTAACTAGGATTCGAACCTATGTGTCGGTGGGAGTCCCCATACGAACTCAGCGCCTTCACGCTCTCGACCACCGAGCCGCCTAATTGGTCAGACCAATGTCAGACCTGATGTCTGACAGATGTTATGAAATTTGTTTCAACATAAAACAATTGCAATAAACAGAATAATTGTGAATTAAAGTAACCCAGTCTCTTCCAGATCAGAAAACATTATGAAATTCGAAATTTTAGCTCCTGATGTAAATTGTAAACAACGAATTTGTAAGATTATTGCTTTGATAGTCCAGATTTAGGGCATATGCGCTTGCGTACTATTAATTCATTAAAATTGTTGATTTGGTTTGCATAAATGTCAATATTCTCATGACTTGTAAATTGATAATTATGGTTAATTGATAAATGTTGCTTGATAATTGTTGAATGTTGCTGCATAAATCCTCCTTAACACTTGACATACGAGTTGAAAAGAGTGTTGTCAGTTCAAAACTCATTATTTTCCAAAAATATTACTATCATTTGAACCAATCTTGCAGTTGCTGTCCAAACAGGATACAGAATTGTTTTTGATATATATTATGATTATATCGATATTGTTGATTCACCAATCTTCAACAAGATCTGAATAGTATTGACCAGATTGTCGTTTATTCATCATATTATGTCTAAATACACCAATTTGCATATACATTATGTAATGTCAATAAGGATATTTAATCACACAAACTAATGAAAGAGAGCAAGTTACCTACCTCCAGTGCCACCCGGTATAGTAATATTTCCTTTATGATCATTCTTTCTAAACAGAAATATGGGTTATACTTCTTGAAATATTAAACCTCGAACATGTTCTAGATATGCATTATTTTAAAGCTTGATATTCTGCTGATCATATCTTTCATTATTAGCATTGTAGTTTTGATTTTGGTTGGTAATATATGGTGATTGAGACATTTCCTATTTCCAATGCATTTAACAGCATTTTCTCATGGTTCAACTTGTATATACTTGAATTCCATTTGGACAAAATTGTTCTCTAGTGGTTTCCAGAAAAAATACATATTACACTATGAAACATTTTTCCAATTTTTTCATAGCTCTTTTGACAGGAGAATTCAGTAGGGCAAGGCCGTGCCCAGGATTTGTTTTCGGGAGGGTGGTCCAATAAAAAAAAGAACTGCTAATTCAAAAGTATTTTTTAGAACTAAGGAGAAAAAGTCGGATTTATGTCGTCATTTCGGGAGGGGGAGGGGGGTTTGGACCCCCTCGGACCCTCCCTGGGCACGGCTTTGGGAGGGTACAAAATGAATTGAATCACCTTATACTAAGAATTAGGATTGATGATTCAAGATTTCTATAAATAATAATTGAGAAACTGATAAGCTCACAAAAAAATATCAAAACAGAATCGGAATGGGATGTTTTCCTTTGAATCATTTTTTTTTCTATTTGAATAGAATACCTTATATTTTTTCCATATTTTGAGGAAGTTTCATAATATTAGGGGTTCAATTTTAATATATCCCACTGAAAAATTGAAGTACTGACTGGGCCATATGAAAACAAATAATGAATCTATATCTTGGGCAACAATATCTTGACATCTGGTCTTCTTATTGATTGTTTGATTTCAGGTCAACCTCAGCAATCCTGGATTATTATGAACTAAAGGATTTCATAACCATAATTTTCATTAGCAAAAAAATAGTATGCAATTAACTGAATGGTTTCAATTTTTTCAAATAAATAACATTTCATATTCCCAAGGTTCTGTTTTGAAGTTTCAAATATCTTTGATAGGTTTCAAGATATCTTCCTTTGAAATTGTGACATCCATAGTCAATCACCCAGTATGTAGTCGTGTTTGTACATTGTTTTTAATAGCGATGATAGGTTACTATGATTAAGAATCACTGCTCTCTGAACAGCTTTAATTTGAGATTGAGGAGAGGAGGGCGGGAAGTACTGCAAATATAATCCTTTTTCTGCAATCGGCTCATGAGTCGTCCATTTCTGGTCCAAAATTAGCTCTTGAAGTTGACGTTTCTCTTACTGACACAATAAAATGGTTAGTATGTATGTTACTAGGCAACACTTTTAGTGTCTAGGAGTAAAAATTGAAGGTTAACTCCCAGGAACTAAAAACGTGTCGGATGACAGCGGATATGGTAGCTGCTTTGACACAGACATGCTCGAGTGACTGAAAATAATAGTTTTTTCCACTTATATTTAATTAATTATTGCGATTGCAGAAAATATAGCATGTTTTATTCGGACCAAAAGTGACTCTTGACGCTTGTCAAAAAAAGGTGACATTTGTTCCTAATAAAACAATCTACTATTTTGTTTCTGCTCTGACAGATTTGAAATCTCAAATACCCAGTCGTAATATTTATTGGATGCATTGATTTTTGTTGTGAAACAGTTTCTTCCTGTCATTACTCTTCTCAATCAGATGCTTTAACATTGTAGATTGATAGATTAAGTAATATTGAAGGCCAGATATATTCAATAATGATCATCCAACCACAAAGATTTATAAGGAAATGAGATTATTTTATAATTTTATTAGTTCTAAAAGTTTTTTATTTTATTTTGCTACATTTACGCATACAATGTATTCTAGTTTCCAGTTGATGAAAATCAATTAAGTGCAAAGAATTGATTAGCCAGATTTCTGTATTTTTTAAAGTTTATGTTTAATAATTTTATTTAACTGTGATATTTTATTTTAAGATGTACAAACCACAGCAATTTTCAAATTGCGTCTCAGAATGGGCTCATATTCTATAGTATTTGGTAAACTAGCTATTTATTTCATGATATTAATGATGCTTTATATTTCAAATAAAATTCGGCACCTTCTTCAAATGCAAGCTAGTGGTACAACATTTTATGTTAGCTACAATGAATGAATGATATTTCAATCTCAGTAAAAAATTCCGTCTTTTAATATGGTAATTTCAAAAAGCTGTGCTAAAATACTCGGGATTTTTTTCATGTGTCTGTTGACAGATTGGAATGTATGGCTCTGACTTCCGAGCGATTTCCCAGAAAGAAAAAACAACAGTAAACAGTTGAAATGCAGTACCGCGGAAAGTTAAAATCATCTTTTTCAATCCAACCAGATGAAAGTTACCACTGCATTGTTCAGAGTTCCATCTCAGTAATTTTTTTAAATATTTTTTTTGATAGGCCAATTCATTTTATTGTAGGGCAAGGTGAATACGGTTTGATTACAGACAGTGTTTTGTTTCCCCCCATTACGCTTGACCGCAGATTCCGCAATAATGGCATATTAGTTCTCAGTACTCCGCAAGATAGCGATACTTTTTACAGATTTCTTTCATGACAGAAAACAGAAAACGGCGCTTACACACCGCTTGCACCAGAAATAATAATATAACATCCATAACAAAACTTCAAATCAAATGAGATTAAATTTGAAAGTACGAAACTGTAATTTTGGGGAATTTCAATTAACCATCAGATCTACCAACCTTGAATTTCGCTTGAGATTTTGCCATCTAACGGGTAAAATGCGACCTGTATTCCGCGATATTGAAAAGAATCCTTCTGGCAAGTAGGCCGTAGGTCAAGAACTTCGATCGAAAAGCAGTAGATGAGATTTGATAGGAGTTTCTACACCATCTTCTCTTCATCCTGTTGTCGGGCCTTCTCTCCCTATCGTACCCAGCTACGCACGATGTTCTCCGAACATTATAGGGATTCCCTTTCTTGCGCCCCAAGAGATGAAAAAATAATACTTCCTCAGCTAGTCTTACAATAAATTGAGTTTTCCTATTTGTTAACATAGGCCACACAGAATATTTTGAATGAAACCGGCCACAGCCTTCAGGGCTATCCCGCAAAATTCTGGGATTTTGACTTTGACCAGGATATTGACCTCACGCTCTGGTGTAACCTGTGAGTGTAAAGTCAGCTGGTGAGTGGTGAGACTGCAAAAGTAACCCTCATTTGATGGGACCTTCAATCATACCATTAATTTGAATAACGCCCGAGAGAATTCACTTTGGGGAGTTATTTTTCAGCTTATTAGCGAGGTAATGTTCATATATATGATTGAATTGAATTTACTAAATGAAGACACCAACAGTTTTTATGTACGTAGTGAATAATATTTATTGATCAAGTTAGTTCGAGCGATTTTTTACTGTATAATTGTCAAGTGCTGATATTTTCTGGAAAGTCTATCAAAATCATAAAATGGCGTCATGAACGTATCAGATATGTTGTCGTTGTAAATAATGGCCGCTGATTTCGCTTTTAGGTGAGACCTCAGATTGCAGCTGAAGTTATATAAAACTATCAGTGAAGCTCATTGCACTTATCCACCGTAATTCCCTCATAATTGATCATAAGTAGAAATTTTGATTGTAATGAGTTCATACCGAGAATTGATACTACGTTAACCTTTATGTCCACCGCCCAAGAGGCACTGACAGGGGTAATTAAAATTTTGTGCATAACTCCATACATCAGGATATCGAAACGTTAGCAATAAGTATAAGCGTAGTTAATTTCACAAGATATTCCATTTGAAATGATAGATAGGGAACACGGATACCTTGGAAATTTCCATGATGTATTTGTATAGCTAAGTATAGTACCTATATTTTGCCTTCGCTGTATGACCAGAGCAGGTCATTTATTTTGAACTATTTGTGATATATAATTTTTTGATATACTCATTTTATACTGAACATCATTCTGTAATTTTCGTGTTTGTATATTTATCAGCATTTTTCGTTGTTTTTAATGTGACTAGATCTGTTGTTGAGCCATATTTTGGGTGAATGAATCCAATTGAGTTATACAGTGGTGGAGATTTCAACTGGAATAAATTTACCTACCTTTTGCAAACAATATAGAGAATATATCCCTGCCGTGGTAGCTGAAACCACCCTCAACATGATTTTTTCAAAGTTAACCCTATGGCCTGTGACCCCTCATTGGAATGCTGGTGCAAAATTATAGTTTTTCATACGTTTAAAGATTGTATAAAATTGAAATATTATTTTGAAATTTTTTTTTTTCAACGTATCAATCGCTCAAAATAAGTGTTTAATAATTGATGGCAATTTTTTGCCACTACTGTTATCTGTTATTGTATTCTAGTGTTTTTATAGAACCGCAAAAGGAAAGTTAGTTTTTTTGCCGTATTCACAGTTTGAAATGAAGTGTTATTACAAACTGGTGGACATGCCCTATATCACTGTCACTAAAAGTCGATATTCTGATGAAAATACGTTGAAAATATATTAAACTTCGAAATTTTATTTTGATTTTTTTGCGACCCCCAAATGTACCTACTGCAAACTGAAGAATGATCAGTACCCTAGATTCCCCTTTCCACCAGCATTCCAATGAGGTGTCGCAAGCCCTAGGAATGCATTTGGAGAAAAAAACATGTTGTGGTTGATTCCAGCTACCCCTGATGGTTTATATTCTGTATATTGCTCGCCAAATGAAGGCAAATACATTCAAACGTTGATGTGTCTCGCGAATTTTCAAAAAAATCATTCACTCCCCCAGTAGCGAATTTATTCCAGTTAAAGTCTCCACCCTGTATACGTTTGAGCTCTCCATTTTAAAAACCCAAAAACAAAATTTGGTAGCAACTTTCCCTGAATACTTATTTTTCTGTATTAATATATGATTGTTGTGTATGCACGTATCGCTTATTATGTACCTATGTAAACATTATTTATAAATTTGTGTAAATTTTTAATGCTGTGAGGTTTTTGATTATTGGAACAATAAATGATTTTAAGACTGATCTTTTTTAGATGTTACTGAAGCCTACAAAAAAATATATCCTGGTAGCGGCATTTTATTCGCTTGAAGTGAGGGTATTAACCGAGTAAGTTTTTTAAAAAATCTCGTGAGTATCGTTATACTGAGATATTCAAAAGTTTCCATGATTTTGGGCACTCTGCCCATATACCATGTCTATACAGGGTGATCCACGGTGGATGGCCTATTAGAAGTATCTGGAGAACGAAAGGACAGAACATCCTGAAAATTGAGATGCTTTGATAATTAAACATTCTCTATCCGTTTAAAATATTTTTATCGATACAGTGTTGCCGATTCTATCAGAAACAACTAGCAACTTTGTCATTTCAAATGGAGCACCCTGTATTTTATTTATTTTATTGCATTCTTAGATTCTTCCTGAAGAGCTTATTTCCCCAATGCATCACACTTGGGGTCTAGCAGGAATGAATACAGAGATAAAGGGTGTTCAAAATCGAGATTTTTCAATTTTAGGATTTTTTGTGTCCAAACTATTCATTATGGATCAAAACGGCTCACATGTCCCTATCTTAACTTCCGATTCACTATCTACTGGAATTTAATTGGAAAAAATACAGGGTGCTTCAAGATTCAGAATCCTGATCACCCTGTATCTGCCAATGTTGGCATATCCACACGAGTCTTCCTTCCCGCCATCACCAGCTAAAGCGGCGTTCACAACCAAACTTTTTACGTTTTGCTTTTTACGTTTCGTATTCTGATTGGTGAAGCAAAATCTGTGATTGAAATGACGCAAAAAGCTGAAAATATTCAGCTTTTTGCGTTGCAAGAAGCCATCGTCTGTGGAAATAGTAAAAATAGATGAATAATATGGAACATTCTGTAATAATATGGAAGTTATGATAATGTTTTCATGATTTTTTCGTGAATCCACAGAATTGTTCAATTCATTATTTTCATGTTGAAGATTGATTTTTCTCTTCAAGTATTGAATAAGGATCAATATTCGTCACCGCCAGTTCTATCAATTCAATATCATTAATTATCTGATCAATATTATTGGTATGATTATTTACTTCATTTCAGAATGAAAAACAAATAACAAAACCAAGGCAACTGAGCCATAAAAAGTCACGTTGATTTTTTGTTGTTGTGAATGACATTTGCATTGGTTTAGTTCACGTTTAATTTCAGATTCTGCTTCACCAATCAGAATACGAAACGTAAAAAGCAAAACGTAAAAAGTTTGGTTGTGAACGCCGCTTAGAGTACTTCAACAGCCAGCCGCAAATTGTCGGATGCCAGCTACGATACTGTCGTGTAGTGCTCGTATTTTCCTCGGACATTAAAGTTCCGAACAATGCTGCTCTAGAGTTTAATGCTGAACGTACCTCTTGAACGTCAACTGCTCAGTCACTTGTCTGAATGCTTGTCACTTGTCAGTAGTGTCAGTTGATAACAACTTCTCTTAAATCTCGGCGTCGGCACATTTCCAGTTTTTCCAGTCCAGGGTTTTTCTTTTTCTTGCATATTTGAATTGATACTTATGAATTTGTGGAACACTTCAAACACTCGTTCTGAATAAGCCATAATGCTTCAATAGATGGTACTGGAGAATATTAGTTCGACTCTATAGCTATTAAGATGGTAAGTTGCATCAAATATTTACATTCTGAATACAGTTGTGTATTGTGTATCATGTATCTTTCACAGGATCCCAATTTACCACAAGGCTTTGGTCCTCCTCCAGGAATAGGTACCCCACCTCTTATGCCTCAAGTACCTATGCCTGGAATACCTGCATTTCCACCAATGATCCCTTCTTTCAACGTTCCTCCACCAGGTTTTGGCAATTTTGGACCTCCTGGAGGTATGCCTCCAGCTACTCCAGGATGTGAATGGACAGAGCATAAGGCACCTGATGGCAGAACATATTATTATAATTCAGTAACCAAACAGAGTTCTTGGCAGAAGCCAGACCAATTGAAAACCTCAGCAGAGGTAAGTAGAAATTGGTTATTTGATGAACATAGATCTGATTATAGAAGTTGATTCTAGTTGTTATTGTCCCAATGCCCATGGAAGGAGTATACTGCAGATAGTGGTAAAATTTATTATCATAATGTGAACACAAAAGAATCCAGATGGGTAATACCACCTGAATTAGAAGAAATCAAGAAAAAGATAGCTACAGAAGAGTAAGTATGAATTGTGTAATTTTGATTGAACTCTGATGCACCTTTATAAATATATACCTACAGAAGCTTTGAAGTCAGCAGATATACAGTTATTCCACACAAATGATGAAAAAACTGCTATGAAATGTAAAACTCTTCTCACGGGACCCACCCCTATGTTTGATTTTTCAAATTGCATACCAATGACAAAAAAAAATGTATTCATGATTCAGACTTAGAGGTTTGTGGGTTTGTACCAGAGTGCTATAAACATTTATTCACTCTATAAAATACCCTGTACTGGATGTTGAGCCTGTCAAAAATATATAATACAAAAATACATAGTAATAATAATAATAATAGACAATCTATGCCACAAACAACAAACCTAAAGTGATATGCAGATGCTCTGAGGTTGCCCCTGGTTTCAGACATATTCACTATTTGTCTTATTCAGATATTATGATAGGTATGTATGTATGTGAATTAAGCCAGATAAAAATAAATAACTATATATATTGTGATATCAAATGTCATTTCTATTGAAACTGCAATATTTTACTCAAAGTCAAACCTGTAATTGATTGTCTTCATTACCCCCAAGAAACATTATTGTTTATAATAGGGATATATACAACAAAACATACATAGAACATAATAAATAGAAACAATAATAATTGCACAATTATTGTTTTTCATAAAATAATAATGAGAGGCACTGGTCAACTGTTCAGAAATTGATTGCTCTGAATTCTGTTACATCTACCTCTAAGTGATATGTATAATAAATTAAAAGTAAAGAAAAATGAAGAAAAGCTTTCATTTAAAGGCTATAAAAAGAAGAAAATAATTATATCTTTCAATTTATAAACTCATACACAATTTAGGTGATCACAAAAGCTTGTGTTGTGATGATGAATATTCAATTAGATTGCTATTTTAAAAATTCAAGCAGCAGATTCTACATAATTAAATTAGTACTAGGTTATTTACACAAGTAATCTGCTGGACAAACTGTCATGCTCATATAAATTGTGTATAATGAGGTTATCAGTTGATAGTTGAAATGTTAACAAAAATTTTATTTTGTTTCTTTCAGAGCATTTTGAAAAAGCTTTTTTTTTAGTTTGTTTTACTTTTAATTTATATTTTTAGGTTCCTCGGTGTGTTCATCTCATTCAACACATCATTGTTACAAGGTCATTTGCCGGCTAATTTCAAACAGTCCATATCTTCAATAAGGAGACCTAACTGATCTTGGGGTTTTCTTTCTAGACAGGTTGCAGACCAATGCTGATGACGCCCATCTCGCCAAATGACACAAGTTAAAGTTAATCAATCCATGTTACAGGGTTAAAAGTCAATTTTTTATAACTGCATTATTATTCTCAGCAAACCCTTTCAGTATAAAAAAGTACAAAAACGCCAATAGTGCGCTATATTGGATTTAGAGTGATGTCATATTGTTTCTAATTGTTCTCGGCAAGCCCTTTCATTTGATACCCCTATTGCAGAATTGCATAAATAATAACTATGAGGCCATATTGGATTTAGAATGATGTCACATTATTTTCCGAAGTACTCTCAAGGAGCCCATTCATTTGAAACCCATATTGTGGGAGTATATTCAAAATTTCCGACATGTTGAATGATCCGCCATATTGGATTTAAGAATGACGTCACATAATTTTTCAAGTTACTCTCAACGAGCCGTTTCATTTGATACCTACATTGTAGACGTATATTGAAAATAAATATTCCGCCATCTTGGATGGTCCCCCATATTGGATTTAGAATGACGGCACATTATTTTTCGAGTTACTCTCAACGAGCCCTTTCATTTGATACCCATACTATTCCTTATTGGATGGTCCGCCATATTGGATTTAGAATGACGTCATATTATTTTTCGGGTTGCTCTCAACGAGCCTTTTTATTCGATACCCATATTGGAGAAGTGCATTAAAAACAATTATTCCGCCATCTTGGATGGTCCGCCGTATTGGATTTAGAATAACATCACACACCTTATCGTGCATTGTCATCCAAACTAAACGTGTATACAAAATTTTAGCTCAATCAGTTGAAGATATCTACTTCAAAATGCAGTTCAAAGATTCCACCTGTACAGACATACATTGAAAGTTAAATAAAATCTTTTAGAATGAAATGACAAAACAAAGGGGTGCAATTTGAAAACAAAGCTAGGGAGGATTCTGTATGGAGTGTTTGATGTTTTTATCTGTTAAAATCTTGAATTTGTTACCTTCCTGGAATGAGGAAGTTTCCTTCCGATGAATTTTCATAAAATCAGTTCGGAACCCTCCAGTTTTATGTCCATGCTGTACAGAATGGCGACCGATAAAGTCCAAGTCGTTTTCATTTTCAAATTAGAGCAATTTCTAATTTGCGGGGAGGCAAACTGTGACGTACATTCTGAATCTAGTCTGAAAATAGCTGATAGTGAAGACTATAGCTAGCGAATAGCTAATGAATGAAAAACGAATGAAAAAAATAGAAGAAGTAAAACTGGTAAACAGAAACATACATAACCACAAATGCACCCGGAGCAGGAATGCAGCGGGTAGATGGCTTCATTCTGACAGGTTATGGTTTTGTTATTAATGCATTGAATTATCTCTAATAGAGCTCGATCCCAAACGAAAATATCATTGAATCAATGAATCACTATCGGCTACATTCAATGATGCTATCCTTCCTAATTTACTGTCATCGGTCAGAACAGAATGAAGCCGATAACCATGGCTTCTTCCTCTTGTTGTGCCTGTCAGTATTTTGAGTGGTGTGGACGGACTCGAAGTATTAGGCGCTGTTGCAAGATATAATCTGCAACGTTCCTAGAAAATAGATATACGTTTTATTAAGGAACGTATTGATTAGCGAAAAAATGACAGAGAAGTTATGAATAATATATTATAATATAACGATAGTGAAAAATTATAGATACTATCGCAAAATTTTAAAATTTGTCTTTAGTAGTAATCAACTTCATTCAGCCAATGAGAAATTTGAGGCAATTATTCATAACACTTGACAAAGTAGGATTGGATAACCTATTATATCCTATTGCTGTTATAATATAGTTATTATGCATTCAAAGAACAATTTACGGAAATCTAGGCATATTGATGATGTTGGCAACGTCGTACTGGAACAGAGAATCGTATTTTAAATCTGTGTGAATGTGGATTTTCAGAAAGTACGTCATAGGAATGGTTGAGGAGCTAATAATCCAGTGAATAGAGGAGGTTCACCTTACAAACGGTCCGGTAGTTCTGAATTTTTGATATGTTATCTTGGATGGTTATGGAGTGTTTAAAATGCAAGAAATGAAAAAACCGAAAAAAATAGGAACTTTCTCCAGATTTTCGCTTATATTATCGTTATGGTGCATTTTAGCTACAAAAGAGTCCTATTAAGTATTGTAGAGGATTGAATTTCCTATAATTCACGTTTCGAATTTTGATCCTAGAACTGATAGTTACGGACATATGCACCTTTTAAAAAAATTTAAAAAATCGCATTTTCCGGAAATTTGTAAAACTTCTCACTTTAGAACGCTGTAGTTCCCTTATGGCATATTCTAGGGAAACAAATATCGGAAGAAGATTTGTAGGGAATTTAATTACCTACAGAAATGCATGTACAATTTTTTCCACCCACCCTACGTAATGGGGCTTGAAAATAAAAGTTGAAACAACATCATATTGTTTTTTTGGCTATTGTGACTCCACATTGTTTCTAAAAATACAGTGTAAGCTTGAATTTGGAATCCTACTTTGAATTTTTACATGACACAGCGCGATGCTTAAGATGCAGGTACTATTTCAATTGATTACCTACCTACCCATTCACTCAATGACTTGGTGGTATGTCCTCAGTAAGTGGAAATGTGCGGAGTCAGTGGTCGGAGGTATTTTAGCCAGATTGAGTTTGAGGGTACTTGTTTTCAATCTGCTATAGCGAAGGGAGCTCAACGATTGTTCTTTACTGCCACCATATGGGGATACCAAGAATCTCTTCCCTGCTACTGAAATTTCTTGGGGACTGGCAGCAGGGTCCTCGAACCTCTCCGCTTGATGGGTCTCTCCTAAAAAGTTGGCAGAATTTCTTCTTTCCAAACCCAGAAATGTTAGATGTGGTGTCGCAGCCCGATATGTGCCGATATTGCGTGCAGGAGCACGATACAGCCTTTGTAGTTATACTTGTAGGAGGAGGCGGAGTAGATTGCGTCTGAATGTTTCCCTCTCGCTGGTTTTTCGAGGTAGACATTGTTCACCGCAGGTGTTGTGCCAGTCAGTAGGACGAGTAGGTCAATGTCTTCTCCGACAATGACGACGGCGTCGTACGTGGGGGACAGACATTTAGCTGTGGCAACTATCAACCTGTCAGCATCTTCGGAAGCTTGGTCTGTGACTGTATTTGACGCTTGCATTTCATTACAGAGCAGCTTCACAAATCGGTCCTTGTTCCCTTCATTGGCCAGGAATTTATCCTGAGGTACGGTGTTGACAGTGGTTTTGTCAAACACCACGTTTGATGATGAGTTTGCCTTGTACCTTCTTGCTCGTTCAGCAATCTTGGTCCCTTGCTGAGAAGGATCTGTAGTGTAGCCATCAAAAATCACCATCACATTGGTGTCATAGTGTCGCTGAACGTACTTGACAAAATTCCGGAACATGCGTTTTTTTTATTTTATAAAAAAAATCATATCTCCGTAACTATTAGTCCTAGAAACAAAATTCGAAACGAGAATTATAGGAAATTTAATCCTCTACAACATTGAATGGAGCTCATTTGTAGCTTGAATGCACCAAAACGAAGATATACGCGAAAATCTGGAGGAAGTGCCGATTTCTTTGGGTTTTCTCAATATCGCGGAGGGGGGGAAATTGTGCATTTTGCATTTTGAACACTCAATAACCATCCTAGATAACATATCAAGAATTCAGAACTACCGGACCGTTTGTAAGGTGAACCCCCTCTATGTGTCTCTATTCACTGGATTACAAGGCCCTCTTCTATTAATTTTTTTCAGACGTGAAATTTGACCTCACAAAAAAAAGAAGAAATACCTTTATATTAATTTTTTACAAACTTCACAGTGAAAACTTACCCATTGTATTTGGTTCTGGATGACTATAACTTTTTGATTGATTAGATGAGACTAAATAAAATTCATCTAGTTTCAAAAATGATTTCAGATTGAAACCTCTATCTGCTCCTGTAACTCCAAGAGAAGTTACCAGTCCTTTACCTATACAGCAGCCCCTGCTGGTTGCAGTGGCAGCATCTACTGGGCCAAATTCACCAATAATACAATCATCAAGTAGGTACAAATTTCACAAGAATGTTTTCTTCAGAAATCTCTGAGTAATTTAGGGGATGACTAATTTTTCTCAAAAAACAGACAGGATACCTCAGTAAACAAAAATGTCATCCTTGTTTCAGCACCTATGTAGATGCTTGTTTATATAAGAATTTAACATCCTGTTTATAATTTTTGGTGCCGTTTTGGAAGAAAAATTTGACCTAAAAATATTACTCCCAAAATGGCCCGGCATAGCAAATGAATGATAAAAATACTAACAATAATTCAAGAATGATACCCAATCAACTATACATTCAAATTTATGATATGTGTAACAAACATAAATAAATATTAAATAATACATCATATAAATACATATATTTTTTTCAAGTACTTTTTATTCAAATACAAGATCATTATTAGAACAAAAGTTGTTGCCTAATCAGCGAGCCTAAAGTTGAACTTTAGCTCATAGGAACTAAAAAGGATGTACTAGAGTTCATCAAGAATAAACATTGTTATGGTTGGTTATTTGGGTTGGGACGCATACCTGATTGGTTTCCGATTTCGGCAGATTTGGCATTTTATACCCATGCTGGAGATATAAATACACCTTATTATAGTTATGTATTTTTGTTTTGATCAGGAAAGCCTTCAAGATTCACATACTTGCTTGATCTGTATTTCATTCATTATTCTCGGGATGAATAACTTGTTTTTGAATAATCACGGCCAGCAATAGTTTATTGCCTCAAACAATTGTTTACCTCCATTTGATAATCAAGCCAAACACAGTGGAGTATGGAAAGAAATAAATAATCGCTATTATTATTGTTGATATGCTCACTAACCTAACATTGTCCACTCCTTTTTCCTATACCTTGGCACTGGCTCGGTATTTTCCATTAGAGCACCTGGTCCATACACAAATATGTCAGTCTGTGGTTGTATTTATATTGAAACTACAATTCGAACATCCTTCAATATTGAATAAACCAAAAAAACATCTACAACAGGCATTATTATAGCGTTTTCGATCGAATATTGACAATGGGCTTGTATCACAAAAAATTTTTATTTCATAATTCGATAGAACTCACCCAAACTAGCTCACCACCGCAAACCGTTTCTTGCTGTGAGCTCCCTACGTTTTATAAAAAATTATTGAAATCCCCGATTTTTCGGACCTCTGAAAACGAGGCGATGATGTGACGTCAAAACCCTAATACTGAAACCAGACTATTCCAGACAGAGATGAATGATACATGATTTCTAACAGAGTGAATTAGCTCGAGATCACAGTTGAAAGAATTGATATATCAGTTGCCTCAGTCTCCGTCGGGTTTTTTGTATTTTCTTTTAACTATGGCGAGATAAGGTTTCTACGTCATAAGGGAGTCCGTTTTCAGAAGGTACTATTATTAATGTCCAAAAATAAAACATTCCATTTAATTTTTTGATCGAATTATGTCGTCAATCATTATTTATGTATAAAAGGATGGATTGAGTTTAAAGTTCTACTAGGGTGTACAAAATTCAAAAAAAAATTCAAAATTTCTTTAATTCCTTTCAGATCAAGACATATCCATATAAAAGGTTTTTAACGCCCATTAATGTCAAGAAATTCAAAAATTTATCACTCTTATCAGTACACAGTACACAACCTAATGGCACTAATGGGATTGAGTGAGGATTGAGTTTGTTTTCCCCCAGTTTTGACGTGGCTTTGCCATGGAACGATGAAAACCTACAATGAGCATTATTATCGTTTGGAATATTAACAATTAATGTCAAGAAATTTAAAAACATCACTCTTATCAGTACACAGTACACAAGCTAATGGCACTAATGGGATTGAGTGAGGATTGAGTTTGTTTTCCCCCATGCCACCTGGTGACATTGATTCCCGCGAATAGGTAGGTATGTCATGATCGCGTAATCGCCGTCAACAGCGCATGACATAACTGTCAAGAATTATAGTTCAGACTGTTTGTCCAAATTTTCTTACAACACATATTAGGTAATATACTATTATTTTATTTCATTATAGAGATGTCATGTATCTTCAGAATCAGAAGAGGCTGATATGATTTTATTGATTAACACTAACTCCATCTTCTTAAATCTCTCAAGTATATAAAAAATCCTCAATCTCATCAAATTAAAACTAAGAACAATACTAAAAATGTGTCAATTGTCCTGTCGTGTATTCCAAATCACTGAATGATCTCAAAGCAAATTGAAAGTTTCATAGATTTCAGTGGAAATTTTTCACATTTGGATGTTTTTTTTTATTCATGTGCATGACCCATTGTTGGAATAAAAAACACACCCATATCCATCTTTTTCTTTCAGCCTCGAGTCCTAGTGGTAAAAGCAGTGCTTTGGAAGCTGCGATGGCTGCAACTTTAGCTGCTATTTCATTGCCTACACCCCCTCCAAAACAAGGTAGTTCTTCAGGAAATGGTTGATTATAGTATTGATCTTTGGGCTTTTTTATTTGTTTCAGATGAGGACTCCAATTTATCGCCTCGTAGCGATACTGCCAAAGAATCCAGAACTTCCACGCCCGAGCCTAAAGTTTTCAAAGATAAGAAAGAAGCGATAGAGGCGTTCAAAGAACTCCTGAAAGACAAGAATGTGCCATCAAACGCTTCTTGGGAACAGTGTGTCAAGCTGATATCGCACGATCCTCGATATGAAACTTTCAAGAAATTGAATGAAAAGAAACAGGCGAGTTTTTTTATCTGTTGAAATATGAAAGTTGCTTATTATGTTTTTTTATTTCAGGTATTCAATGCCTATAAAACACAGAAGCAAAAAGATGAAAAAGAAGAACAGAGACTGAGATCGAAGAGGTATAAGGAAGAATTAGAGGAGTTCCTGCTAAAGTCAGATTTGATAAATTCAACTACCAAGTATTATAGGTGTGATGAAATTTTTAGCACCATGCAGGTTTGTTGAATCATTTTCATTATTTTTTCCCCAAATATTCATTTTCTAACTATTTTAGGTTTGGTCAAATGTGGCGGATGCCGACCGCAGAGACATCTATGAAGATGTTATGTTTGCTTTGGCAAAAAGAGAGAAAGATGAAGCTAAAGCTCTGAAAAAACGAAATATGAAGAAACTATCAGAGGTTCTTGAATGTATGACTAAAATTAACTATGATACAACATGGAGTGAAGCACAGGTAGACATACAAACATTAAAACATGTCTGTTGCTGTCAACAGTCAAAACTACTTATATTCAGAAAATACAATATTGATAGCAACAGTTCAACTTCAGATAGTATTAAGAACAATTTAAACTAAGTTGGATTATGGTTTCAAAACATCAATATCAACATAGCCCAAAAATAATTTGATAGACTTCTGTGGAAAAGCGCATGTAGGATTTTAGAACGATCTGAATTTGAGGTATTTGAGTGGATTATGCCTTGGGTTCCAGGGTTGCCATACTTGTGTGATTTTTGTGCAGTGTACCTCTACATACACTAGTAATACAAAAAATTGCTGATTTTTTTCAAAAATCTTGGAAATACGTTCTTTAAAAGCCTGCACTTCTGATACTGCATTTACAGATTAAGAATAAAATTACCGGCATATGTCAGGAAATATTCTGAATACGGTCCTGTCTCTTTTTATTTATCCACTATTTACTATAGGTACTTTTTGTAATAGCTACTTCGAGCAGGATGCGACCTTCTGAAATAAAACTGAGTTGATATATAAACGCTTTATAAAGCATGTTTACCAACACGAAATATAATGCAATGGATAATCAATTATTCAACTGTGTCCCTGCACCATTCTTTGCAACCCCCATGAGGCCAACAGGAGGCGCCTTTGCGAGTATAAAATGCCGATCGTATTTTTGTTGGGCCAGGTTATGTTTGGTTGGCGGACTTCGCACTGCTAGCTAGTGACTACCCTACACTACCTTGATAGAAATAAACACTTGCATCACTATTCGTTTATAGGAATCCATGAATAGATTTCGGGATGATGTAATTCAATGTTCTGCATGGCATTAGCCTGGAAAGTAATTTGTTTTTCTCCCGTTATCAACCATTGTTATTTAAATAATAATTATTAAGGAGCTTCATTGGATTCCCAAATGGCCACCGACCGAGGTCCTTCAGCAAGTGTTACACAGTGATTATACATTGAGTTTGAATTCATCATTATTGAATATAAAAAGAAAAAAAAAAGAAGAAAAGACTATTGTGAGGCAAGAATTTTGAAGGAATTTCAGTCTTCTGAATTGATTTAAGAATTCCAATAGTGTGTTTTCTGGAAACTTAGCTCTTGGGTTCACTGTTCGATCTCTCTGTAAATTCTGGAATTGGATAATTTGGAGATTGGATTCGTTTTTGGAAAACTTCAAGGTAAGCTTTTTCTGTCTCTGAAATTGGTTTCACCCTGGTCAGCTGATATGAAAGTTCGTTTGATAGATGGTGAAGGGGATTTTGAGGGTGCCGGATTTTGGTAATGGCTCTCAAGCTAGCTCTTTCTGCTACTTCCAAATTGTTCATTGCCGTCTTCCTAGTGTATTTGTGCTGCAGTTCTTTTGCTAATTCCCTTATATAATGATGAAGATCTAAAGCCCTAATTTCCTTGGTATTCTTGTAAGTTAGACTTCGAGAATGTTTAGCTCTTGTGATGCACTTTTTTTTTCATCAACTGGGTATGATGGTTGAAGTTGTTATTTATTTTTTGAATATGTGTGGGAATGACTTGTTTTCATATTTATTTTAAAAAGATTGTGTCTTTCTTTCCTTACAACTCTCAATTTTCTACCTATTGAAACTATTTAGCGTTCCAAAAATTTTCAGTTAATTTGAATTCATTATTTTTTCAAGGCAGAAAATGAGGAAAATTGAGTTTGATTCATCAATACTATAAAGTGAGTGTTCTTGTAAAAAACAATCCTAATGTGGCAAGATGAATTTCACCCTATCTATATGCATTTCAAGACAGAAGACAAGTAATTAACGAATGTTATCAATCTGGATATTCGATATTCTGATCCAATTTTGACCAATAACGTTCAGTAGTTATATCTGTTGTTTCTGTACGCCGTGAAGTACGTATCCACATGTTGATGTAGTTATACCCCTCAGTTATTTCTAATCATTAGATGGTAACTGAAACCACCACCATACTGATATGATTTAATAAATAATCGACCGTTTTTTATTTATTTCAATAAAAATGCACTGCATTGTCCATATTTGTCTCTGAAAAACTGATTATTGATCACCGCACGACCATCGCACGACTAAAAGCTGAGGTGTAGTAGGGGATGGGGGATTCAAAATGATACTAGATAAACTCTATAAACTCCATCCAGTACATAGTATTGAAACCACCATAGATCTGGAAATTGCCCACAATCAGCTGATTCCTGCTCGTCGGCTCTCTAGTTTATTTAAACTTCGCATTGGTGATCATCTAGTTGTCACGTGACTGGGCAGAACTCGTCGCATCTCACTCTTATGATGGTTTCAATCTCTCTCACTCTACATCAACAACAATAATAATGTAGAGTTTGTTCTTAGGATTCATTTCAATATCAGCTAATTGACGGTGAACAAATAAAGTGTGATGATGTGATCATTGTTCCACATAGAAAAGCACTAACCTCATTCACGTCATAAGTCACAATATTAGGCAGGTGTGATATTCCCTCCAATATTAACCAATCAAAGCGAAGGTCACCGCTTTCTACAATTTCCAACGCTTCTTCTTCATAGTTGGAATGAAAATCTCTATCACTTGACTTCCACTGAAAATATTGAGGATATTATGTTGTTGGTTTTTTCCTACTCTGAACAACAGACAATAAGACATCAATGTCCCTTGCCCTTCTAGGTGCTATTGCTAGAAAACAATTCATTCAAAAATGACGTGAACCTACTCGCGATGGACAAAGAAGATGCTCTAGTCGTCTTCGAAGAACACATCCGAGTACTAGAAAAAGAATACATGGAGGACAAGGAAAGGGAAAAAAGGCGATTGAAAAGGCAATGCAGAAAAAACAGGGACGCTTTCCTCGCCCTGTTAGACCATTTACACGAAGAAGGAAAGTTAACCTCGATGTCGCTTTGGGTGGAATTGTATCCAATCATTAGTGCTGACATACGATTTTCTGCTATGTTAGGTAAGGCCAAGATGGACAGACATTTTCCAGGTAATTTTTATTAGAGCGGTAACCACCGATAGGACTGTCATTCATTCAGTTATCATTTCAATTGTAAATTATTCGTATACAGGATGTACAAACATAGATACATACTTCATATAAAAAAATGTCTATCGAACTTCGTTACGGAGTTATTGACCTTGAAAGTTTGAATAAAAAGATATATTTCATGTATAACTTTTGAAGGGTTCTCATGGCATCAATGATATTTGGGCAACCAATTTAACTCATACTAATGCCCCTATCGATATGTTAACGGCTGTTCAGTGATGATGTTTTATACAGGATTCGACGAATTTTTTCCGTTTGAGGCATTTTCGACAGAGGTGACAAATTTGACATATTGCTTCCACCGTTTGATTCCTTCTTTTTTTTCACAAAAATGGTATTATTTATTTCAATCGATATCTTGTACCATTCTCGAGAAAATCGCATTTTAAAAACATGCATCCTACATCTCCTTAGAATGAGGTACCTGAAGAGATACCTCTTTTAAGAGCAATTTTTTGATCTCATTTTCATGTTTTATTTTCTGTCGTATACAACATGATTCATATAAACATGTTAACAATAATGTGTACTAATTTTTCATGTAGGAAAATACAGAAAAAATGGTATTTGGGGTTGGATATTTGAAAAACGTGTTATATTTTCAATATTCATAGTCAGAATCAGGAAATTCATATTAACGTGTATGTCAGCTTTTACTGTTTTATGAAGACCACCCGGCCTGTCTACCCGTGAACAAAATTACTTTTTTTACAGGACAGAATGGTTCTACTCCTCTAGATCTGTTTAAATTTTATGTCGAGGACCTCAAGTCTCGCTTCCATGACGAGAAAAAAATTATAAAGGAGATACTTAAGGAAAAGGAATTTGAGGTTAAAGTCGACACTTCTTTTGACCAATTCGCAACAGTTATTTGTGAAGATAAAAGATCTGCAACTCTTGATGCTGGAAATGTCAAATTAACTTATAATTCATTCCTGGAGAAGGTATTGAAATCGCAAATGTGTTTTTTTGTTATGAAATTTGATGCAAAGTGTTAGTACTTCAAGCAAGAACTGAAGAATAATGTATTTTAGGCAGAAGTGAAAGAAAAGGAAAGGTTAAAAGAAGAGACCAAGAGATTGAAGAAGTTAGAAGCAAATTTCAAAGCTCTATTGAAGGATATGAACATAGATTATGAACTTTCGTGGGACGAAGCAAAAGTGAAACTCGAAAAGGAAGAAGAGTTCACAGCCTTCGACTCCGATTCTGAAAGACAAAAACTGTATAAAGTAGGTTAAACATTTCAATTTTCGGCTCTTATTCGTTTCGACTCGTTAATTCCAGGAATATCAACATGAGATGGAAGAGTCCTGCAGTCACCATCATTCCAGGTCGAAGAAATCCAAGAAAAAGAAGAAGAAAGTGTACAGATCTTCGAGTAGCGAATCCGAAAGTGATAAGCATAAAAAATCAAAACACAAATCAAAAAGCCCGACGCCTTATTCGGACGACAGCGCCGAGGAATATAAGAAGAAAAAGAAGAAGAAACACAAGAAGAAAAGTCCCTCTGTGAGTTATTAATTAATTTATAATTCAGGTAATTTATTCAGTCTATATAGATAGTTCCCAAACTCAATGACATTAAGAATACATTAAATATTGTTCAATATTAGAGGTGTTGTTTCTTGCTATTTTTTATTACAAACAACGAAGAAGAAAACAAACGAAGATATTCAAATTGTTTCCTAGTGGGTGATAATTGTTGATTGAATTTTTAAAATGCATCCACTTGACAGCACAACTCTCCTCCTTCACTTGCGAAGTAGTATGAACATACAATGTTCAATTACATATACTTAGTGTACTATAGTATATTTTAGTTAAGAGAAAATTAGATCCCATGGATAGCAGAGCCCATTTTAAAATATAGTAAACCCGCCAAATATAAATGTTCAAGACATATTGCTGTGTGTGATAAACTAATTATACAGGGTGTTATTTAAAGTATGTTGCCAAACTTCAAGAGGCGATTGTTGGAGTGGTTCCAGAAGGATAAATTCATACTAACATTTGTTCGGTAATGCACAGTTTTCAAAGTATTGTTTATCCAATGGTATATTATTTAACGAGCACGGAATGATAGTGATTTCCCACGAGAATGAAGTTTGCATTCTTTCGAGTGGAAAATTAGCATTCTGTGCCAGTTATTCACTATAATTTTTCTACGGCTGTAACAGATAACAGCGACATTTTTTATTTTTCGTCTTGTTGCCATCTGATTTCCTCTCAAGTAATGCTCATCTATTTGACAGAGCTGTCATTGCTTGAAATTTGACATTCCATTGGCGATGAGTTTTTTTTTAAATAATAACACAATGGAGTCATTGTGATATCAGATGCGGAAATAAAATTGATGACATACAAAGTACCTCAATGATCTAGAAAATCTATTTTTTGCAAAATCAAAAATGAGAATCAGTATCTTGGTTGTAAACCTCTATCTTGAAAAATATGCATTTCTACTACTACTAAGGTCACCGCAATGGAACAAATTAAATGCAACTATCAATAACGAAATCGTGAGTGTAAATTCGCCGGTCTCTACTAATGAGAAGCAAGGTCAAACACTATATTCTTGTGAAATTTACTATTCTAAATAGTCCGATTTGATACTGAAAAATATGTATGATTGCAATGAACTTCAATTTTCTAGTTCTTTCGATTTATGTTTCAGAAAAGTCAATAGAACTGATGATAGTCACCTTATTTGGCAACGAACTTCTACCTACCTTGTGCTTTTGTGATATTTTGGTTGGTTATGTCCCATTATTTATGCATCAAAGCTCTCGATTTTCAGTTTCTTCTGTCTTGGAAAATCGACCACCATTCTCACGTTCATCATATGTTAACAATATTTCTGGTATTATGTGAATTTGATTATTTTTTTGTATACATATGTTTCGACAGATTCGGTTGTGAACCAAGACGAGTTATTTGTAGGTAATGAGAAGTGAGTGTTCCCTTAATCTGACAAGATACCCAAGAACATTAGAAGACAAGAACAAACATTTATTATATATAAAAGGTTATTTTCATATTGATCAAGCAAGTGAGGTGAAACAGTTTTAGAAATAGAAATGACAGTAGACTTTGAGGGTGAGTGTGACATTTCGTTATTCCATTTTGGGTGTTCAAAGTGGAATGTTTTTGCACGTCACCTTCACCCTTGTTCGATATTTGAGTGGACTGTATTTTCTTAGGCAGGTTCAAATCGCATAGACCATATAAAATTAGATTTTCAATACGAGAAAGCAACTGCACTCACCTGATGATTCAATGGGGTGTATGCGGGTATGGTGTAATAGCCGACTGGATGCGGTGTTCCTGGTCAGGTTAGGTAGATATGATGTAAGGCAGAAATATGATAATTGAAGCTGAAGCAGGTAGTTTTCTAGCAAATTGCTCCCATTGAAAATCCCCGGGGTAGAATACACTTGTAAGCGGTTATAATGATAAGCACGATGGTAGCAAATCGAATGAGAGAGAAATTTTGTCCTGCTGCGCCCAGGTAGACGACACCAATTAACATGCGCGATAATTGAAGTGAGGTGCTTTCTTAGCGCGAAAAAATATTCATACTTAAATAAATGGTTCTATACAATTTTACCCAAGCCAATAATAAAGATTTACTTGAACAACCTTTATACTGGGTGTCTCATGGAGGTTGGCTATCGCCCATCTGAATTCTGTTTTCAAAGATACGACAATACAATTTAGGGGAAAATTTTTCGATTCATAATTGATATTTCAACTTCCGTTCATTCGGTCAAATTTGCAGTTGCAAAGATATCGCTGTGCTTGTTTTAATTTTGTAAAAATCATCATCCAGGTGAGTTTTCATCGTCGAACTACATCGTCAGTTGAAAACCAAAATTGGAATGAAACTCTACAGGAACTGGTGAAGTATTTAGTCAAAAAGTATTTCTGGGTGAGGCATTATGAATTATTTCTTGGTAGCACCTACTGTCTTTTGTTAATGTCAGATAAAGTGGGTTTGAAAAGAGGACAACCCATCAGTTTTCAATCTGATTAAAATGAAAAACAAATGAAATTGGGATAATTTGATTTGATTTGACACCAACCACGAAATACTAAATGCCTCGTCATTGAAAATACGGCAAATTTCTTGAATTAAAACAATTTTTCTTATGAATAGTTTTCAAAATGGTTTGAAATAATTCATTTGCTCGATGAAACTTGTAATGATCCACCCTTGAACAAGGAAGTTATTGATAGGTTGTGGACCGAGCAGCTGGTATATCTAATTGGTGGCAGTATGAAGGAGAAAATGAAAAAGATGGATAATAAACTGTAATTTGAATTGACTGAAATATTTCAATGATTTATCTTCATGAATACTATACTGTAAATTGAAGTGAGTACCCATTAGTTATTAATTCATCCATTTCTAGTCACCAATTCAGACTTAATCAGGGATCATAATCAATGTTCACGAAAAATATCATGGCTAGAATCTTGAAACAAACTTCTGCTTCTCGACACCAAAGTGTAAATAGTCAATTCTCAATTACGATTCGAAGTGATTTCGTAGAATTGGCAATAATTGACGTCATAATTGTCGGTCAACACCATCGACATAAATTTCAAACAAGACCACTAATGTCATAATATCAGAGCTCATTCATTTACGAGATCGAATTGGTCTGTTGGGGCGTGTGCATTCAGTACCTGTCATGTCTTACTCTCTCTTATATTTCTGAACACCAAGAGACATGACTCGATGTCATGAACGACAGTTTGGGGGTTCTTGCGCATTGAGCAGAAACGTTTCAGGCGAGAAATTCAAATGTGATTTTCGGGTTGCTGGGGTATGACATATATATAACGGTCTAGATAGTAGTTATGTTATCAATTCCATTGTTTTGGAAAAGCCAAATTTAAGGTTGCTCTTCTGAACTAGGTAATGGGCTACTGGACTGATAGTGAATAATTGGCATTCAATTACTCCACTGTGTCGATTGGGACCTAAATTAATCTTTTAACGCGTTTTTTATGTATATAATGTGTCTATGCGTTGTTCAAAATTGTTGAATTTAAGAGCTTATTTCAAACGTGCTGTCATGGCCGCCATTTAGCCATGTTCTGGGAAACGTCGGATAGATGGTAGGTAACTGTAGTTCTTATGCTGTTTCCTTATTGGTCAGATAATCTTCCATTCCCACTCATGAAGCAAGGTTGTCAAGTCACCAATAATTGTAATCAAGCTATTGAAAAGTTGTTAAGAGTTCTGTCGTTGAATAAAACTACTTCCAAATTGAATATTCCATTTGACCTGAAGAAGATATGATATTTCGAGCAACCAGCTTGTCAAAATAATGTCTTATACTCCATAACAAAACAATAAGACATGTGAATGTTAGCAGTAGACTTGATAACATGTGCTGAATGCTGAGAACTGATAAAACAATGCCCACAACCCTATAGCGGTGTTGTCACGTTTACAGGACCAAATGTCTTCTAGTGTGAATTGATTTAATTTTTATTTCAACACAAATTTATTATAAGGAACAGACACAACACATGAAAGGGAACATTTTATAAATTATTGAATAAATAATATTTCTTGAGTTCCCAATCATATTTCAAAATATGGCAACTGTGCCATGGTCTTCCCCTATTTACGAAATCGTGACGTCAGTTTTTATTCTGGGCGTTTGAAAATTACCTTAAAATCGAACGAAAAAATCAAAAAAATATGGAATTGAAAGGTAATTGAGTGATAATTCTATATCGACAAACGTTTATTTAAACCTAATTATTACAATTTATTATTTTCGCTATTGATCATTTCCACTCATCTATAAACAACACATGGAAGGAAAATACGTGAGGATGCGCGAAGAGATTTACGACCAACAAGAGAGCATTCAAATTGGTTTAGGCATCTAAGCAGTATAATATATCAGCGTTAACACAGCATATTTTTGATATATGCTTTGGTGTCTTGTTCAGGGGCAGATTGTGGTCGACAGTGCCCTCGGCAAGCATCTGATCGGCACCCCTCTGGTGGTCATGAAGTATCTTGAATTATAACTGCCAATATACAGTGCCCATCTAAAGTCCGTTCCTCCTGTTATAAATTTTTAACCACCTGGTATATCGCAACGAAATTTGAACAGCTCAAATAGGAGATGAAAACCTGCTTCATCCTGAACGACAGCTTGACATTTTCGAAATATCCTTATAACTCTCAACAGTTTCATCTGATACACTTAACCCTTGAATTCAATAGTTTTCGAAATACTATAACGTTCGAAAAGTGACATTTTGGTCATTTCAAATTCAACCAAAACCTCAAATGTTGTTTTCGATCAAGTAAAGAAACGAATCAATTTTCATTTTCAATTTTTTTTTCAAAGGAAACTTTTGATTGGGTTAGAAATTACCAAAATGTCACTTTTCAATCGTTAATATTTCGAAAATTATTAAATCTGAGTAAAAATAATATACAGGGTGCTCCATTTATAAAAAAAAATTAAAATGACGCCTAGCATCGTTTCTTCATAAAAGAAGTTTTCATCAACTATTGTAACCTTCCAAATTTCGTTGCGATATACCATGTGGTTCAAAAATTAGTAGGGCAGGTACGGACATCAGATTGGCATACATATTATGTGTAGAGGGTGAAGAGAGTCCGAGGATTAGGTATTGTAAATATCGTGAACAATTGGCACCAGTTAGCGATACTGAAAGTTGAGGTCAGTGTCGAAGTCAAAAATCACAATTTTTTGCCAGAAAGCCTGTTTTATAGACAATATTCGAAAAAAATTATGAAGAATATTAGAATTGATAGAAAACCTCAGGTTATCGAAAGACGTGGGCCGTCTTACGTTTTTTTACTCTCTATGTGAAACTTTACGACCAATTCATACAATGACGGTGAAGAAGATATCATAGCAAAAAGCCAAATGACACGAATGTGTCGTTTCATTTGCAAGTTTTCCGATTCCGGTTGCTACTTTTCATTCCGTGTCACTACAAGGAATGACGCGAATGACTGTTGACAGTTGTCAAGAAATGAAATTAGATTGACGAAAAACGAGACGTTTTGAAAGATGAAGACATTTAGAAGACATTTTTATAATTCTTTCAAGTAAGACAGGTTTCATATGGTTTCATATCTTCATTCCCAGATAAAATGTATTCTCTCGATCTTAGAGAACTTTCACCAATCACCATAAATCACTGCTCTTAATATGCGTTAATCTATTCTCTTGATTTTTCAACTAGTATTTTGATTTCGAAAATATTTGGGGCCCAAATATATAATTTTAACCTATATCATCTATAATATATTAATTTCTCTCTTGGATGGATTGCAACTTCATGACGTTTCTCGTTTTATTCGTAAACGTCATTCTGTTCCCACCACCTTCACCAGAATGGAACAAATAAAACGCAACTGAAGATAAGAAGTATATTTCTCAGTTCTACCAACCCTGACCTCATGTGTCGGTGGCGCGGTCTGGTGGACAATAAATAATGTTGACCCTCATCAATTATGTACGTGGGATTCAATAATGCATATATTAAAAACAATATTACTGTGAATACAAGTATATATTTCAAATTGGTACCAACATACAATGACTATTCATCCAACCAATCACATTATTTGTTAAAAATTCTTCGTCTACATTTTTGTCTTACAAAATTGTCAGCAACATCGTCAGAGTTTAAAGAAACTCGCCCATTTGTAATCTTGCGCCCTTAGGCACTTTTTCTTGTTAGTACGTATGCTATACGCATTGTAGTTTTTATCAGAGGTGGCTTTCCTGTAATCTCTTCATCGATCGTCAGTAAGCCATTTTTACGTTGTAGTAAACGAACCAAAAATCGTGTAGTCGCAAATTTCTGTAGAGTGGTAGGGTAAAGTGTCATGAACAACATATTAAAAGTCCTGACCTGTAGGGAATGAGCGGGGCAGTAGAGAAACGTTTGAAGAACATTTTTTCGAGTTGTTGAATAGTTCGATAATCGCGACCTCTAGCGGAGAAATAAAGATATACCAAATTGAACAACATGAAATTTCCTATAAAAAAGTCTTCATTTTTTGTTTACAATGAATAGGTCCTGAGATACAGGGGATGAAAAAATAGAGAAGTATCAAAAATATAGTTTGATGCTTTGAAATTCATGTTCAATGTCTCATATCGTGAAATTAGTGTTTAACGTGGCGAATAGAAATAAATACATTATTCCTCAGAGACAAGCATATTGAAAATTTACAATTAATAATCATCATCTTCGTTATCGAACAACTTTTCTTTGTCCACATTTTCCATATCCAGCAACGGTGCACCATTCGTACACGTACCTACCATGGCACATGCCGCACACCATTCACATTGTTCCTCACATTCAGTAGAACATTCACATTGTCGCCTACATCCCACATCCAGTAGAACATCGGCAAAATATGCTGTTTAGAATGAAATTCCAGCTTTTCGGCATTCACATTGTCCCCCACATCCAGTAGAACATCGGAACAAATAGATGCTATTCAGAATAGAATTCCAGCTTTTCGGTATTCACATTGCTCCCCACATCCTGGAAAACATCGGCAAAAAATGCTGTTCATGATGGAATTCCAGCTTTTTGACATTCACATTGTCCCCCACATCCAGTAGAATATCGGCAAAATATGCTGTTCAGCATTGAATTTCAGCTTTTCGGCATTCACATTGTCCTCCACATCCAGTAGAACGTCGGTAAAAGATGCTGTTCAGAATGAAATTTCAGCTTCACGGCATTCACATTGTCGCCCACATCCAGAAGAACATAGGCAAAATATGCTGTTCAGAATAGAATTCGAGCTTTTCGGTATTCACATTGCTTCCCAAATTCAGTAAAACATCGGCAAAAAATGCTGCTCAGGATGGAAGTCCAGCTTTTTGGCTTTCACATTGTCCCCTACATCTAGGAAAACATCGGCAAAAGATGCTGTTCAGAATGGAATTCTAGCTTTTCGGCATTCACATTGTCCTCTACATCCAGTAGAACATCGTCAAAATATGATGTTCAGAAGGGAATTCCAGTGTTTAGGCATTCACATTGCAAAAGATGCTGTTCAAAATGGAATTCCAGAGTTTCGCCATTCACATTGTCGCCCACATCCAGTAGAACATCCGCAAAATATGCTGTTCAGAATGGAATTCCAGCTTTTCGGCATTCACATTGTCGCCCACATCCAGTAGAACATCGGCAAAATATGATGTTCAGAAAGGAATTCCTGAGTTTCGGCATTCACATTGTCGTCCACAGCCAGTAGGAAATCGGCAAAATATGCTGTTCAGAAAGGAATTCCACAGTTTCGACATTCACATTGTCGCCCACAGCCGGATAGAACATCGGCAAAATATGTTGTTCAAAATGAAATTCTAGCTTTTCGGCAATCACAGTGTCCCCCACATCCACTACACCTTTACGAGTTGTATTTCAGAAAGCGTCAATTCAATTTCAGAAAGCTTCAATTGTATTTCAGAATAATCAGTTAAATTTCAGAAAGTATCAATCGTATTTCAGAAAGGGTCCATTGAAGCAGAAAGAAGTTTTGATTGCTTGTTAACAGTTCGAAAGATGATAAATGAAATGAACAATGGATGTCAATGATCCCCTCCCCCCTGAATCTGGTGAAGTTAATATTGAAATCGATGATTTTATCTTTAGCGTACACAAGAAAGTGGCACAAAAATAGGAGTTTCTCCACCTCTCTAAAAGTATATGTCATGTTTGAAACTGTCTGCATTCTTGAAGGAGTTGAATTGACAACGTCACATTTGATTGCGGTAAAAAATAAACTTTGAATGCGGTTCAACAAGAAAAAACACCTCTTATTTTGAAAAGTAAAATCGAATTGCCACATTCTGCTGATTTCAAATTGAGAAGGAACAGTTGCCATTTCGTCCAAATAAACCATTGTCGGACTGAATGGAGTACTTCTAACTTTTTTACGTTTATGCAGAGCACTCCAACCGAGAAATACAGGCCCGAAGAAGGAAGAGGAGCAGGCGAGGTCAGCGAAACGGAACTCGAGAAACAGAGGGCGTTGTTGTTGGCTAAGTTGAAAGAAAGTGACTGACTTGCAAAGTCCTTGTGTTCATTGAAACTTATTAATCTTCAGAGTGTTCTAGATATGCATAAAGTGTCTGTGTATTACGGAGTATATTGAAATATCTGAGGCTCATTGTGATGACTCCTCAAGTCAATTTTCAGTGTATAATTGGATTTGGAATTCTACACATTATTATACAGCTCGCAACACACTGAATTCAAATGTTTTTGACCACCTGCATTTTCTGGAAAAAAAAATTGATCGATATACTCTCCATTTTAACAAGCATTATTACATTTGTACTGTATCTGGAAGTAAAGGAATGAAGGACTATTAGTATTGTATTCTAGTTGTGGCAGAGGATGGCTCCATATCTCTTTTGTGTCAGATACAATCTTATAACAGAGGGGGGGGGGGTTGAACAAGAACCGACACCAACTTCAACTTCTATTATTCAATTGGGACACCTTGTATTTTTTCTAACTCAAAATGACAGCAAAATGAACAGTTTCAACAAATCCACGGAATCCAATGAAAATGACGAATGGCACGTTTGCATTCAGAATTTTGAGGACCGGTCATACATGTATGTAAGACCAATAGTTTATATACAGGGTGTCCCAGAATAACGTTCGTATACTCCGAGAGTTATTTCTGCAGATGAAAATTAAAAATGTCAATCAACAAGTTTCCGAAAATGATTTGATTCCTGAGGGCACTAGAGCCCTTTGAAGGTAGGTCCTTAAATGCAGTTTTTTTCAATTATCTTTGTTATCATTGATCCTAGAATCACGAAATTCGGTTCCTTTGGGTGATTTGATCTAACGAATCGTTTCGTGGTACGGAGAACATGGTTTAGTATACAGGGAGATGCAAAATTCGTAACCGATACTATAAAAATGCCCCAAGTTTTTTTTGTTTCATGATTTTTCTTCTACTACCAGAATTATATTTTTCAAATATTTTTACATGTAAAAGATATTCCTGTTAGAATATCGTAAAGCGAAACGTTTTCGAGAATAGTGTCATATTTCATGCGTGTTTCTTATGATACAAAATTAGAACTTGATAATTGAACTTTTACTTAATGGTAGAATTGCACATTGGTTTAGCGCTCGACTAGCAATCAGCACACCAAAATGTTGCTAGGTTCGATTCCCCGGCAGAGCTGAGAATTATAAACGAGTTATAAACTCTAATTTTCGTAGACTCGGCCGGAGATGATTCCGCATGATTCGCTGTTGCGTTTCAATTAACAGTGCTGCTCCTAAGGTGACGTATAGAGTTAGTAACAAAGCCTATACAGAACACGCATGGGCTGACGGACCTCTCGTAAGGTCAATGGCCAGTGGGTATGTACAGGGTTATCCATCGAGAAGGCTATCATCCCTATATTTACGTTATTTTTCATCAACAGTAAAAACACAAGAGCTTTTCTTTTATCGGATAAATTTGTCTTGGTAACGAATAACATTTGCCGATCAGTAATTTCACGAGAAAAACTGACATGAAAAAATTCCGAGACCGTAGGTCGAGTGTTTTTTGGCAAGATAAATCAAGGGCAATGTATAAGTAAACAACAATAAAGATTACCTTTATTGATGATTTCGTGTGACTGGTAGTTTGCGGAATTGATTTTCTCATATTTTCGTGGTTTCCTCAGACGAAATTTTCCTAAAACGGCTCATCTCAATCAAACTTGACACGACAGAAATTTGAGTGACATCAGGCGCAAATACGAAATTTTACAGGGTAATCCCTAAAAGCGTGACGAACCACAAATTGACTTTTTTCAAATAGAATACCCTGTTTTTTTAACTTTTTCGGAATCTGTGACTTTTTGTGATCACAGAAGTATAGAATAGAATAGACTTTATTGGCTATTTTACACAATGGTTTACAGCACGTCACATAGTACAACAAATATTGAGAGACAATATGTAAAAAATGTAAAAACAATCAGGTCATTGACAAAAACATGTTGGCTTCGACAGATATTGTGTAAGCCATGAATGAGGATATATTTGACACTTGTATATTGCATCATTATCGAATAAATTCCCAAACTTATTGAGTGAACACCAATTGATGAGAAAAACAATGTTTTTCCGGTGTCAAAATATTAAAGATGAAAAAAAAAATACTGAAATGAAAATAGGAGATATGACACTGTATTTAAATACTTTTGTGATCACAAAAAATCACAGATTCCGAAAAAATATGAAAAACAGGGTGTTCCGTTTGAAAAAATCAATTTGTGGTTTGTCACGCTTTTAGGTATCACCCTGTAAAACTTCTGATAAGGGTTGTGAGAATGCCTCATTGCGGCATTCAACTTCTGCATATCCTTTGTTTTTTCTCGATAACCCTGTACATACATACCAACGAAGTACATGGTACTATAACTAACTAACTCAAATTTTACATTTTCAGTAAGTTTTCTTTTGTTAGACTTATTCGTGATATTGATTTGCTAAGAAAATATCCGCAATGGAAATTGACTAAATTTCACCAACAGAACTAATGAATTTGTATGGACATCAAGAATTTTTTTATGTAAAAGTGTAAAAGCGCCCTTAGGAAGCATTTTTGGACACATATTGATAGGAATTTTTATCTGCATTTTATTTGCAGAATTGCCTCCCGGGTGTATACGAACGTTATTCTGGGACACCCTGTATCTGAACTTTTAGAATCACAAATGAAATCATGCCTTGAAGTTGAAACGCATAATTGATTAACATACAAAAACCTAGAATTGGTGTCATTTCCAAATAAATCAAAATTGTGCATTTTTAATTTCTTTGAAACAATAAAGTTATATGAGCCAGCCATCTGGGACACCTGGTATTTTACATTAACATGCAGTAATTTAATGTCTCCTCCAACTCATAGAATGTTTAAATAAATGGTGGTCAGATTAAAATTCCAGATATTGGAGATTGGAGACACAGAAGGTTCTGAATAGGGTTCTGAGTTTTTGTCAAAGGATCAAAAGATTCATGTTTGATGTTTTATTTTTAACCAATTTACTTTTTTCAGGAGTACTCTCTATTTATAATATATAACATTATTTTGAGAGCAGTTCCCTCTTCTTAATTTTATTGCTCCTGTAATTTTAAAAATGAATATCTTTTATTGATTTCTTTGCGATTTTTTGATTTTGTTGGTGTCTGGATTGAAACAGGTCCGAATTTTCTTTCTTGGGAGAAGAATGTCATGTCAGATTGTATACATTGTTTGAATTGATGAATTCATTTTTTTCTGTGGATTCTGATCTTGTATAGAGATCAGTACTTTGAAAGATTTATGAGTGGCAGGTACACGAATAAATTGTATTACAAAAAAGCAATGACTAAATACATATTTATTCAGAAATTCAGGAATCATGCTCCCTCCGATTGTTATTTATGGGGAATATCAAGAGGAAACTAACTAAGAAATCAGCTAACATGGGTGCATTTGTTAATATTTTATTGTTTCCATTTTCTTATTCAAATCTTCATTTTGACTTATTGTTTCCACACTAAACCCACAATATGAATAATACCTACAAGAAATGTAAAAAGCGATTATTAATATCTCGATACATTTTCTATAAACATTGTAATTCATAAAATAACAGTTCATAGTCTTCATATCAAGTGTTTTATATATGGGTAATATCACGTTTTTGATTATTACCATGGATTAAACAGATTATTACTGAGTCCTGAGTCGAATATTGTTTGATATATGCCAGAAACGGTCAGTTATTTGAACCAGGAATTATGTTCGGAATTTCAAAGCTCTGTCCTGTATTTATGAATAAATATATTACCTATGCATTTTCTGAGAACGTCTTGGTTGTAAAATAAGAAATAAAACATATTTTGTAAGATTTTTTGTTTTTACCAGAATCCCTAGTCCATTTTGATCCTAAAATGAGTTTATTTATAAAAGGACATTTTGTTATATAGGAGAGAATTGAATTCGAATGAAAATGCTGTGGATAAAATGGAACATTTTATGAGAATAGTATATAAATTATAATTTTGTTAGGTACTGAACACAGCTACATCACAGAGATATCGCAGCGATGTAACGATGTGACCTACGATATCGCAATTAATAGACGTCGCTGCGACAGAGGGATGTTATTTTGCCCTCCTCATATTTGTATATAGAAAAGCGATGTGTATTTGCGATAAAAACTATGATGTGATGCGAGATGACGTGAAAAGTTTTCTCAAACATGGTGTGATAATACACCACTGACCTCTGATGACATCTAATAATAATGATTATGCATTGTCTATTCAATCGTCTTTTCAACGGCGCTATCCTTAGTATCTACGCATCTCAATCAGGATGAGATCATCGGTTACTCGTATTTGTATCAACAATTATGTAGTAGGTATGTGTCGGCGAGATGTAAGCAAACCATGAATAGTTTGATAGCAATTTTACCAATGTTTGCGAATTAAGCTTCACTTTGTTGAATAACGTATAATGTATTCTTTTTCACCAAACAAGAATTTAATTATCAAATTCTTGAAATTCTAGAATACGTCCACAATAAGTCTACAAGTTTACATCGCAGCGATGCAACATTCGTGATATCGCAGTGTTGCCTCATCAAGACATTTCAGTGATGTTATATAGCAGATGTGTTTGCTATTCTGAACATCGCAACGATGCAAAATTCGTAATATCGCAGTGTTGCCTCGTCGCGACATCTCAGAGATGTCATGTCGCAGGTGTGTTTGCTTCTGTACATCGCATTGATGGAACATTCGTAATATCGCAGTGTTGCCTGATTGCGACATCTTAGAGATATGTCGCAGATATGTCTGCTTCTGTACATCGCAGCGATGGAACATTCGTAATATCGCAGTGTTGCCTCATCAAGACATTTAAGTGATGTCATCATGTCGCAGATGTGTTTGCCATTCTGAACATCGCAGCGATGCAAAATTCGTAATATCGCAGTATTGCCGCAGGTGTGTTTGCTTATGTACATCGCAGTTATGGAACATTCGAAATATCGCAGTGTTGCTTCATCGCGACATCGCAGCGATGGAATATGTTTGTGATATCGCACTGTTACATAAACGCGACATCTCACAGAGATGTCATGTCACAGATGTGTTGGCTGATGGGCACCTATACCTTCCGAAACACAATAATTGTAATTTTGGTAGTTCATGCTTCATGTATATATCACGGGAGCATTGACTACACAGAGAATAATTATGATTGACGGTAATTTATATACCGGGTGATTTTTAAATGGAACTAATAGACGACAGGTTCTTCAAAACCTTTTTTGTATGTATTTAATTTGTCTGAACATTTTTGATTACTTGATCATTGAGATATATACCTCTCGCCTACTTCTAGCTTCTCCATTTAGATGAATAAAAGGTTTGTTAATCTGTGACCCCATTTTATATGTCTGGCTCATGATATGGGAAACACCCTATATGTATAATAGCTAAGCTAACGTCGCCGGATACCGAATATAGCGAATACGCCGGACGTAATTCCAGTCACTTCCCAGCAAATACTGGGCAGCAAGGTAATTTTGCAACCACGATTTTAACATCCGCGTGCGATGTACAAAAAACATCTTCTTCCGCTCTCTTTTGCAGCGAAATGTTTGCGACATAAAGTAGGCATTTCATTAATTGTGTTGTTCAAATTGAGATTTAGAAAAATAGCCCAAAGAAAACAAATATCCGTATAGTCACTGTGGAAGTTTTTGAGACAATAAATGTCTTTTTAATAATCACATTGGGCCCATTTATGCTATTTATGCTAGGATTCTCTGAGACTTCTCCATTCTTTTCCTTTTGATGTGCAGACTTTCTCGAATAGATTTCGTCGCCAGTTTCTCGATGACGATCTTTTCAACTAGAAATTTAATACATTTTTTACATATCATTTTGTGGTAATGATATTGTGGTCCTCAAAGGAACCACGTTCAGAACAAATAATAATTTCCATTTGCAATCTGGGACTTCGCGAAACTGTCATGTGTAATGTAACATGACATGTAACGATGTAACGTGTTTGCTGGGTTTCTATAACCTCAAATTATTTTTTAAATTTCATTTTGGGAATTTTTCAAAAGATTTTAGAGAGTTGAGCACATACTGTAGAAGAGGAAGGGAGAATTTCATAATTATCTTTTATTTTTGATGATGAGCGAGACTTCTTCAAGTCAGCAGGAAATTTCCGAGGGACTTGCCACAGTCAGAACAGTAGGAAATGTTTTCTACAATCCAGTTCAGGAATTCAATAGAGATTTGAGGTAAATTTTAATATATTTTTTGTAATCTATTGTTCTCAAGTGATTCAGTGGGAATTTGGAATGGAAGATGTTCAAGCAAAATGCTACAGCTTCAACAAATGTTAATGATAATCATTAGCTTGTAGTATTTCAGTTATAAGAACTTTCACAAGACTCTTCAAAGATGAACAAGAGGAAAAAAATAGCAAGAAGAAAAATGAGGATAACATAGTTGTCACAATAAATAAGGATACACCTGAGGCTGGTGTCAAATGTGAAGATGGTATCACAATTTTAGAAGCATTATCTGCTACAGGTTTACGTAGCATAAGATATGCAAAAGAAATACCAGGTGTACGAGAAATCATTGCCAATGATATATCTTTCAAGGCTGCCCAGGACATAAAAAATAATGTTGCCTTGAATGGAGTTGAAAATCTAGTTCAACCAAGTCACAATGATGCAGTGTGAGTATTTGCTAGTGCTGATTAATCAACTTTTTTTGTCTATTTTCCTTAATTCAGAATGTTAATGTATGAACATCGAAAAGAGAAGCAATTTGATGTGATAGACTTGGATCCTTATGGCTGCCCTACAATTTTCCTAGACTCTGCAGTGCAGGCAATAAAAGAAGGTGGGCTGTTACTCATAACAGCAACAGACATGGCTGTTTTGGCTGGAAATTCACCAGAAACCTGTTACAGCAAGTATGGGGCAATATCATTGAGGATGAAGAGTTGCCATGAAATGGCTCTCAGGATTCTATTACAGTGTATAGAGTCACATGCTAATAGATATGGCAGATATATTGTTCCATTGCTCTCCTTGTCTGCTGATTTTTATATAAGGGTGTTTGTCAGAGTCTATTCTGGGGCCCATAAGTGTAAATTCACTACAAGGTAATGTTTCATTATTACATTCATAATATACCCTACATTATTGAAAATTCAGTTGAATATTGAACAGAAATAATTGTTTTTATTAATTGCCATATAATATGAAAGAACTGCAAATAATGCTGGAAATAATGTGAGTTTGGTAAATTAAATCTGTGAAAAGTGTCACATTTCATCTTTGGAAATAAAGGCAATAAGGCTCCTTCAGTTTGTTTTTAGTAGGTGATGAGTATAGGATGATCTAAGGATATATAGAGGTGATAGTTTTAAATTACCCACTTACCACAGTCACCATATAGTTATGTTCAAAGTACTACAATATGAATTCTATAGTAATCAACAATTTTTTTACAGCAAACTCTCTCATGTTTATCATTGCACAGGTTGTGACAGTTTCCTTTTACATCCTCTGGGAATTCTGAAGAAAAATGACAAAAATAAGAATCAAGTTAAATTTGGAATACCCACTGGACCACCAGTTTCTGGAAAATGTGACCATTGTGGACATCCACATCATGTAAGTGAATATTTATAAGCATAATGCTTTCATAATGTTGAATATTTTTCTTTTGTACTTATTCCAGCCTTATTCAACCATTTCTTTATACAGTATGTTTCAAAACATGTACCAGAGAGTGAAAAGTAGGATTTGCTTTTGTACAAATCTTATTATCAATGAAGTGCATGTTGAGCTCAGAATATGTTTCTTTCATATACCAGTGGCAGAGATTTCAGGGTTACCTCCAGGTACATGAATTTTTTGAAACACCCTGTATATAACATATATCATTAATTCATGTGATGAAAGATAGTGAAATATTACAGGGTGATTTACATAACAACCGACATAGGCATGTAGGGGGTCCCAAAATATGGCAATTTAACAAGACTTACCTCTATACCAAGTTGCTTCCCTAAGGAGCTTTGAAAGTGAAGTTATAAATTTTGAAAAAAATCAATATCTCCGTTATTCTTGAACTTGAAGCAACCAAATTTGGTACACTTTGTGGATGTATTCATGGCGTTACTTGAAAGTAACTAGAGTTCAATTGGAATTTGTGAAGGGGGTATACCGGGTGGCGCACCATTAATATTCAACAGAAGTTTGTTAACCCTCGATTGATTTTGAAAATCTTTACTTTGTTTTGTGGGCAATTCAATTCTAAAACTTTTCTTACTTGAATAATTTTTTGAAAAACCTCATCATTTTCATCAAAAACTCGAATAACTGAAAACGCGCGCTCTAGGTGTGTTATTTAAAATCATCGAAAATTCAAAAGTTGACTATGAAAATAAACGTCAAACTTGACAATGAAGCAAGTAAGTTGTTCAATTAAGTAATTGTTGTTTGAGTGTTTTTAAAATGAACGGGAAGTTTTCTTTTAACCAGCAAGTTGACATGCTGTTAGTGCTAGGTTTTTGTGAAGGATACTGTAGAAGAAGTGTAGAAGAATATCGTAGAAGATTTCCTAACCGTATCATTATTCATTCCCCATAGAGAAACATTTTCTAATGTTGAAAGACGAGCTAGAGAAACGGGCAAGTTTTCTAATGATACTCGAGAACGTGCTGTCACACTCAGGCCGCAAGTTGAAGTAGTCATTTCAAATGCTATTGAAGATGATCCACATATTAGTACTAGGAATTTATCTCGACAAATTGGTATATCGCAGAGTTTTGTGCATCGAGTTATCCGTTGCAATCTACTACACCCTTATCATGTACAAAAAGTCCAAGAACTTTTACCCGGAGATTTGGTTCAACGTGTCAATTTTTGTCAGTTTATTCTACACCAAGATAATAACTTCCAAAAGAAAATTCTTTTCACGGATGAGGCGATTTTCACTCGCAGAGGTATCACAAATCTCCATAACTATCATGAGTATTCTGACGTAAACCCACATGCAATAACTCCTCGGCATTTCCAACGCGAATTCAAAATGAATGTTTGGATGGGAATTATTGATCGATATTTAATTGGTCCTGTTGTTTTACCGAATCGGCTGAATGGTGAAAATTATTTAGAATTTCTACAAAACACCCTCCCGTATCTACTTGACGAGGTACCTTTACAACTAAGGTTGCAACATTGGTTTATGCACGATGGAGCACCGCCTCATTTTAGTATGAACGTAAGAAATTTTTCAAACCACCAGTATCCCAATAGATGGATAGGAAGAGGAAATAATTGCCCACAACGTTGGCCCCCAAGATCACCTGACCTGAACAAATGTGACTTCTTTCTGTGGGGAACGTTGAAAGAATTTGTGTATTCTTCGCCCGTTGCGTCTCAAGAAGAATTATGGAATCGCATTATTCATGAATGCACATCTATTAGGAATAATCAACAGTTATTAGATAGGGTGGATTTCAATTTTCGAAGAAGAATAAATTTATGCGTAAGAGAAAACGGCGATCATTCTGAACAATTTCTTTAATTTATCGATAAACAATTGTTTGTTCTGGTTATTGTTCAAGTTTTTTGTGCTTATTTTGGTTAGTTCGTTGTTAATCCTAGTTTTTCACATTTCAGTATCTGTACTTACTTTTCGTATTTTGTTACGTATCTAAATAATAATTTGCCAGCCAATTTCTACTGATCACATTAAATGACCTACTTTCTTGTTTGACGTTTATTTTCATAGCCAACTTTTGAATTTTCGATGATTTTAAATAACACACCTAGAGCGCGCGTTTTCAGTTATTCGAGTTTTTGATGAAAATGATGAGGGTTTTCGAAAAATTACTGGAGTAAGAAAAGTTTTAGAATTGAATTGCCCACGAAACAAAGCAAATATTTTTGAAATTCATCAATGGTTAACAAAATTCTGTTGAATATTAATGGTGCGCCACCCGGTATACTCCCTTTACAAATTTCAATTAAACTCTAGTTACTGTCAAGTAACGCCCTAAATTCATCCACAAAGTGTACCAAATTTGGTTGCTTTAAGTTCAAGAATAACGGAGATATTGATTTTTTTCAAAATTTATAACTTCACTTTCAAAGCTTATAACTCCTTAGGGAAGCAACTTGGTATAGAGGTAAGTTGTGTTAAATTGCCATATTTTGGGACCCCCTACATGCCCCTGCTCTATGTCGGTTCTTATGTGAATCACCCTGTATAGATAATTAATTCAATAATTCACAGAGAAAACAATATTTTCTAGATTGGTGGTCCCATATGGTCAGCTCCTCTGCACTCACCAGAATTTGTACAGGAAGTTTTCGATACAGCATCTGAAAAATTGGGTACATTCAGAAGGATACAAGGAGTTCTTAGTGTGGTTTTGGAGGAATTATTAGATGCACCTCTGTATTATACTTTGGAAAGATTGAGCGGTACTATACACGTTGAAATGCCTCCAATGATGGCTTTGAGGCGAGTTTTTTATTTCATTATATAGTTTTCTTGAATATTTCACAAATAGGTTCAATATTTCCCAAGATTTCAATTATTGGTAAAAATAAATAATTATTATTTTCCGTCCCCGAAAAAAAAATGGATACAAATGTTAGATTTCAAAGTCTCTTTAGACCAAATTATTGCCATCATGATCTACATTCCACAAGAATTCATTCAACTTCAAACTCCATCACTTCTCCTGTTAACTGTTCGTTATTGGTGTTGGAATATGAGTCTGATCAATTGTGTTGTTTCAGTGAAGTTTCCAGTATCATTATGTTATTCCTGGGTAAAAGTGAACAACAAAACGATAAATTTCTGTCTCACTGACAGACTTCTGCCGTGAAAGGCGCTCCTTCTTATGTATTAGTTGCTTCTCCATATCGTTTTCCATAACCCTCTGGAATACATGTAAAAATTATGTGCGAGGACAATCTGAAATGTGTGATACAGGGATATCAATGTAGTCAGTCTTGCCTGTTTAATGATGTTCCAGTCCTTCTTTGGGAAATATCGATCATTACAGTATATTTAGATATTTCGCGATCATAAAAAAATTTGCAGAATAGATGGGTATCGGTGAACGTGCATACACAAATTTGTATTAATGAATTTGTTATGTAATGAAAATCAGTTCTCCTTCAAGTACTCGGAGGGGGAGGGGGTATAACTGTCACAGGCTCTTTTCGCCAAGTTATGTGACGATAGTAACTTTCTGAAAAGAGTCATCATCTTCCAGATCCGCGATCCTGAATGCAGGTTATAAAGTATCCTTCACCCATATGAACAAGACATCCGTGAAAACTAACGCCCCGCCCAGAATCGTGTGGGACATAATGCGGTGCTGGGCCAAAGCGCATCCCGTCTCGAAAAAGAGATTGGTCGACGGTTCGCCGGCTTCGCACATATTGGCTATAGAGCCGGAGAAAGACTACTCTTTCGAAATACGCCCCGACGCCAATCCGGCGTCTCGGAAGATGGGGTACGTCAGGTTCCAAGAGAACCCGGCACCGCACTGGGGGCCCGGATCCAGAGCCACGGCCATGTGAGTATGCTTCATTCCACTGGTTTTTCATTAGATCGGGAACATGTTGGAGCTGTGATAGATGACAATGGGGAAGTTTCCTTCAGATGAATTTTCATTTCATTTTCAAATTGAGGCAATTTCTGATTTTCGGGGCGGCAAACTGTGACGTACATTCTGGATCTAGTCTGAAAATAGCTGATGGTGAGGAATATAGCTAGCGAAGAGCTAACGAATGAAAAAAATAGAAGAAGAAGTAAAACTGGTAAACAAAAACATACATAACCACAAATGCACTCGGAGCAGGAATGCAGAGGGTAGTTTGCTTCATTCTGACAGGTTAAAGTTTTGTTATTTATGCATTGAAATATTTTGAATAGAGTTCCATCCTGAACGAAAATATCATTGAATCAATGAATCACTATCGGCTACATTCAATGATACTATCCTTCCTAATTTACTGTCATCGGTCAGAACAGAATGAAGCCGTCAGTATTTTGAGTGGTGTGGACGGACTCGAAGTATTAGGCGCTGTTGCAAGATATAATCGGCAACTAGAAAATAGATCCGTTTTATTGAGGATTAATTTCCTATATTTTGTTACTTTTGTGAAAATTTCGTACTCCGCATAGTTCCGAGAGAAAAAAACGTTTTCTCGAATAGTGCTATAACAGATATTCCTAGTAGACATTTGTATTGATGGAGGTAGACGTCATATTGAACGTTAATTAAAAAAAAAATGTTCTTCCTTTGTTTCCACTGTCAACTGAATTCTTTATTATAATGATATTGAACTTTTACTAGGAATATCTGTTAGCATTATTTAAGAAAATTGTTTCTCCTTCGGAACAATGCGGAATACGATATTTCCACAGGGATAACAAAATGAAGATGATTAATCAGTCATCTCTCGCTCAGAAAATATTATTAATTTATTACCAACCCTAAGAATGTTATGAAGAAAATATCAGAGGTTGAGGGTGGTTTCAACCCTTCTACAATTTCTTCTGTGTTTCTTTGATTACCGAAAGGAAGGAATTCTCTAAAATGCAATTTTGTCGAATTCCATCCAATTTGTTTCACTCATTTTTAAACAGTGTACAAAAATGTGTTCTTCATGTAAACTCTGATAATTCCTCTCATAAACAAACGGTACATTTTGTTACATAAATTAATTGGGTCTAATCAACGTACTTTGACTTGTTTTACACGTTTTGTAGCTGTGTCCCAGTAGTTTTGGGACACCCTGTATAATGAATATTTAGGTATAACGCGTATGCTACCTGCTTTTATAAATAACATGCATTTATTTGTTCTTTCAGGGTTGGTGAACAGAAAATCCAAAAAAGTAGGAATAATCAGGGAAAGAGGAAAAGGGAAGTCTCACAGGAGAGTACAATAGAGAAAATGGAATGAATAATAAAAACAATCTGTTTCATGAAATGTGGTTTTTATTTTATCTGAAAATAAATATAATCCATTTATCCTGGTGGATTTCAGTTATAGGGAACCTCAAGTTTTGAGTTAAAAGTTTCCAGCCCCCTGATTAAATTGAAAACAAAGCTACTTTTAGGTACGAGTTTTCATTGACAATTATAAATTGTAACAAAGTAATGAAGAATTTTCATCCATATTGGAACACTGTATGTCGACCTCGATATTTAGTGAGAGTATCCTGAAAGTAAAAATGCGAACATTGTTGAGAAGATAATTTCTAGTGTGAAATTTCTATGTTACTTCCCCAAGTAGGTACTTACCATCAGAGGTTACCATGATACCAAAACAGTAACATGGGTACTTAAACGGGATTTATAGATTGAGGCGCAGCCGCCGTTCATTCAAACTTTGAAAGTATTAAACCAATGTCGGCTAAATGAGAAAAGAATCTAGTCAGCAGAGGGCCAGAGCTGACTAGATTCTTTTCTCATTTAGCCGACATTGATTAAACATGTATACGTTAATAATCCGTTAATAGATGCGCCGCAGCCTCCGCTGCCGCCCGAAGTTGACCAAGTTTCATCTTCGGCGGCGGCAGCAGCGGACGAATGACTCAAAACAAGATGATCTTGAATCTGACATTTCCAGTTCTGTCAAAAAATTTACTAGACTAGAAATAGTAATGGGAGTATTCCTAAATTTGCTAGCAATAATTAGAAAGATAAAAATAACAAAATCTATTGATGAAGAAAAACAGTTGGCCCCAGGAATGAAGTATAAATTGACTCATTTTTCCAGAACTGCTACGGCGGCTGCAACCGCAACGGTTGCGCTTCAATCTAAAATCCCGCTTTACCCTGTCAAAGTGTCAAGTTTTTGAACTATGGTTATGTGATATCCACCTATTTTCTGCGTTTATGGATTCTATGTCAAATGTCCATATGCCATCATCTGATCTGTGTTTCATGTTTGTTGTTGGTTTGTATTTAATGTATTTGTATTTATGTTTTATTGTATTTCAAATTTCAACAGTCAACTTTTGAACGTGCCTCAGATAAAATCCAATTATTTTCATTTTCAGGATACCTTACTCAATCCATGTGCGTTTACGAATCATATATACCATGACAGCCAATAATAAGTGGGAGGAGACGTCCACTATAAAATATAGTACAAGAAGTAGAAAAGGCCACTATCCCAATATTATTCCAGAAACTAATAAATCCTCACCCTTGGAACTTTTCAAGAAAAAACCTAAACTACAGTTATCTAGCAATGCAATTATGGAAAATAACAAAGAAACAGAGGGTGCAGTGAAAGAAGGAAATGGCAATGATAGCATGTTGAAGATAAATGAAAATATCCAAGATAATAAAGATGAAACTACTATTAAAGAAGAAAAGTTATCTCCAAGTCCATCTAAGAGAAGGCACATCAAAATAGAGTATGATAATACTGATCCTCCAAATAGATGGAGTGAAGTTTTAGGGAATTTGAGGGAAATGAGAAAAAATTCTGATGCACCTGTTGATACCATGGGATGTGATAAATGTCATGATGATAGTGTTGCTCCAAATGTATGTTACAATATTATAGTTTCCTATTGATCAAAATAATTAGATGCAATGTCATAACATTCAACACTGTGTTTTCTAAGCTTGCAGTTTGCAGGTCATTAGATATCAACTACTACTATCACTCATGTTGAGCAGTCAAACTAGGGACCAAGTCACACATGCTGCTATGCAAAGGCTGAGGGATCATGGATGTACTGTTGAAAATATTCTTGCCACATCTGATCAAAAGTTAGGTGAACTTATATATCCAGTTGGATTTTGGAAGGTACATCACTTTATATAGTAAATCCAAAGTCAGTTGAACAATGTTCATCATATTATTATATTGACCATCTGCGGCACGTGACCAAGTGGGCGTGTCCATCTCGCCTGGAGGGTAAACAAAAAATTTGGCTCCATTACATTATCATTGAAATTGTGTTTGTTTGAGTTTGAGGAAGTCTAATCTTGTGTCTTGAAAGCATTTAAGTGATGTTACTGTTTTATGGAAGAACTATGATGAGTACATTGAGTGAGCAATATAAAAGCTTGGACAAAATAAATGCTAAAAGAAATATGGAAAAAATCTCATGCATAGGATATGAGGATCCATATTGCATAAACAATTATTCCATGAAAATTGCTGATTTGCCACCAGTTTTATATCCAGATTAGTAAATTATCTAGTATTTGCAAGAAGTGCATTCAGTATGGAGCAAATGAAAGCATATAAGGGTTAAGATTCTTACAAAGCTGCATCATGAGGTTGTGTGAGAGACGTCCGCTCCAAAGGTGTTGGTGAACACTTCTTTTGGTTTTGGGAAAGTTGAAGTTAACACAACACACAATTATTCATTATTCATATCAAATGTGTAATTATTAGTTTTGTAGGTTCTGCATTCACAGAAACTGAATAAAAAATGCCTTAATCCTTAGATTATATGTGAAAGTAGTGGTACTGTGAAAAATGCACATTGTGACTGTGTTGCTGGTTTAGGAGAAATTTGCACACATGTTTCAGCTATATTATTCTCCATTGATAATTCGGTTCGTCCAACATCATCTGTGGAATCAAAGTTTTTGATATTGATTTCACAAAACCAGGTTCAAGCAAATCACAATTGGAAGCACATAAAGAAGATGCTAGCTTGAACCAAAAAGAGATTGTACAATTTTTGCAAACAATAAAAGATTCTACAAAAAGGGGTAGTGCTCTCCACTCAATTGGCTAAGCTGTTTTCTCTTCTGTTATTGTCTAGAACTGAGGGAATCCTGAAAAATCTGACACTCTCTCATTCCAGTACTGCCACAATTCACTATCATACAAAAATTCGGCATATAATTCGGTTAAAATCTGTAGATGTAAATGGTAGGCCCTCAAAATCAGAACATTTGGATCACAGATAAATACATTGAATTCTATATGTATAAATTATATCTGCAGTAGAAGTTCAACACCACGATCACAATACGAATAAGGGATACTAATAACAACTTATTCGTCAGTAACAAAGCAGTAAAATGAAAGCAAAAATAATTATAAACTCATGAACAGAATACCTCCACATGGTTTGTTTACCCTCCAAGCTTTCGACCTTCAACGTTGTGACGTCAGCCGCAGATGGTCAATTGAAAAAACCCAATCTGTGAATGTGTGACCATGTCTTCAAATGAATTTCAAATAACATGAAACCCCTGCCTACCTTCTTTCCCCACTGACTTTGGATTGACTATACTTAACATTCTTGCTTCTTGAAAACATTTCTTAATTGCATCCAACAAACATGAGGGAACTCATCTCAATTATTATAATAATGAGCTTTCTATTGGACTCTTTTTTGAAGTAGAAATACAATTTACTACAATATTGTTATTATGAAATAACAGGTACCTACTTAACAATTATTGTTTGTGCAGAGCAAAGTCAAATACATAAAGAAGTCCACTCAGATTCTCATAGAAGAGTATGAGAGTGACATACCAGATACAGTTGAAAAATTATGTAAATTGCCAGGAGTTGGCCCAAAAATGGCACATATATGTATGAAAACAGCATGGGGACAAGTTACTGGTATAGGTGTGTTTATACTTTTTTTTGTCAGATTGTTTATGTGTGATAGTCATGAAATATACATCCTCTAATGATATATAATTGTTGTAGGTGTTGATACACATGTTCATAGGATATCAAACCGTTTAGGTTGGGCAAACACAAAATCTCCTGAGGAAACTAGAAAAGCCTTGGAGAGCTGGCTACCTCATGAGCTGTGGAGTGAGGTCAATCATCTCTTAGTAGGATTTGGTCAGCAGATATGTCAACCATTGAGACCTCAATGTGCTACATGTTTGAATCATGAAATTTGTCCATATGGAGTGAAATACATCAATGGAGAGTTGAAAGGAACCAAATTCAAGAAAGGAAAATGAAATGTTTTACATTCAGTGTTTTGTTTTACTGTGTATATTTTTAAGTTTATTTACATGTGCATTGCACAATTATTCAATCTACTTGGCAGATTGATGAATACTTCTGATACAGTCTTAATTAATAAAATATGTTTTTGCTCCTTTTAATGAGATCTACTTTTACCTACTTATAGCATAATGCCTTCCTCTGGCTATTTATCAAGCATAAATTGAAATAGATCCAGGAAAATTGAAGATGAATAATATTACATGGTATCTTGGACTTTCTTGTTGAAGTTCAAAATGCCTAGTGGAGTATCTCCCACTTCTTCAATTTTACTAACACATTTATCAAGTAATTTATCATGTACATCATCAATACTTCCAGCAGCATCTACTCTCTCCCAATTGTCATGTTCATCACATAGTTGGTCATACATATTTGCCACTTCTCTTTGAAATACAACATTTTCATACCTTTCACTACCAAATCCTGGTCTACATTGCATTTCTTCTTGACTCAGAGTTAGTAGGAAGACTAAATCAGGTTTTGGAAGACCATTTTCAGGTTGTTTACACCACTCCAAGTTCATATCTGAATGGAAAACCATAATTACACTCAATAGGAGGATGGAATGCTCATAATTTACACTATTTGTTCCCTCAAACTGATGGTTATTAATCAGATAGCATTATTTTTCACTTACTTTTCTTCACAGCTGAAAAAACTATTCCTGAATAAGAATATCTATCAACAACCAAGGTAACTCCATCATACAATAATGTTTTCATTTTTTCTAGATTTTCCCAGCGGTTTGCAGAGAACAGTAGATGGATAGCTTGGTCATTCAGTGTGCACTCTTCATTTTTCAGGTATTCATCAATTAATTTTCCAGTTGATGTCATTCTATCAGGAAAGTTGAGTAGTTTGGATTGAATTTTCCTTTTTTCTAGGGACTGCACTAATTTTTTGCACTGTGTAGATTTACCTGATCTATCTACACCTTCTATCACAATTAAAGCTCCTCTTTTTATTGGACTCATATTAAATATTCTCTGTTTGAAAATCAAGCAATGTGGACACTGAGAAATTCAACCAGAGCAGTACAAGTTTACTCTTTGTACTCAATACTACTTGAAGACCACCACTATAATATGTAATATATTTAGTATTCCTCAGAGAAAACCCGGGAGAATATTGTTGGTTTATTTTATTTCTAAACAACTTTAGTTAGGTTATTTTCCCTCCATTTCTGATGCAGTGTAGCCAACATTGATTTTTCTTCTATTTTTTCGGCCTCAGTTACCAAGGCTATGTGACTTGATTTGGATTCTTCTTCGTCTATACAATCCCTTGCTACTACCTACTTATAGTACTTATATCCTATATTTATATCCAGTGAATGCATAAATTAGGCATCTATTTGTTTATTCCACCATTATTTATGCTTTTATTTCTAACAATATGCATAATCCTGCCCTCTAATGGACAGTAACCAGAACATTTTTTTCTCAATCTCTTAAAGTGCAGGAAATGAAATTCCTGAACTGCACTTGAATTCAGGAACATTCAGATATGTTATCCATACAAATTGGTGTAGACTTTGAGTAGACAAGTATTAGGTATGGGACTCAATGAACTGAAATACTGAATGGCAATCATTTTCAGACCTAGGTATATTTCAATCATTGCTCTAAACAGTAAAACCATTAATGTTTATCAGCTCTTTTCCTACTTCCTGGACCATGTTTCCCTTTCTTATCATGAATTTTAATCCTTTGTCTTTTCATTTTGATGGACTTCTTCATCTGTTTTTGCCTTTCCATTTTATTCTTCATTTGGAAAATTTTACTATTTTTCACAGTTTTGGTTGCTTGTTTTTTAAGTGCCTTTTTAACATCCTTTTCTGAATCAAATTTCGAAACTTCTTTCTTTTTCACTTTTGATGCTTTTTTATGTTTCAGCTCCATACCAGGTATTTCCTCTGCATCACTCTGTACATCTGATTCTATTTCCTCATTTTCCTCATATTTTGGCTGATTAGCCCCAATCCAATTGTTTTTCATGGCAATATCATTGGTTGAAAGTTCAACTACTTTAACAGTCACATCATCATCCTCATAATTTTCACTCAGTAAATTTTCTAGTTCTGGTATTGGCCGATGAGATACAACTAACTTTTTGTAAGATTCCTTTGCCTCTGCTTTGATCCGTTTACGTTCATCTTTCAAATCTTTTTCAAATTTCTCTTTAGCTTCCTTTTTACGTTGTAGTTTTCGCTTATGAAACCCTGTCAAAAAATCTCTGAAAAAAGTTACAAGGTATAGGCCATGATTAATGGGTAATGATTTTTCAAGTTGATATGACTGATATGAATTAATTACATCAACGTGATCAACTCTCAATTTTACTTGTTCCAGATATTTCTCAAGTTGAGGAAGACCCTGCACATCACATAGAAGAAGCTAGTTTACCTTCTCTTATCTTCGTCGAAGACCAAGTTGATTTTGGTTTTACGATTTTTTGTTTTCTTGGAATTAGGTTTGGGATTATTGGAACGCATCTTTACTCTTCAGTTGTGGAGCTTTCGTCTCAAGCACAACTCAAAAAGACAAAATTGAAACAAGGCCCGAGAGTATTTTTTTGAACCTTTTTTGAACAATAACATAACCACAAACCATTCAAATTTCTATTCCACTTCTTATTTCTTTTAGTCCAGTCACTCCAATCCATAGTACTTTCCATGTACAGTCACAGTTCACGGTAGTCCACAAGGCTCAATTACACGTGCGACAGGAACCTCTAACCTTACTTAAGCCTTACGTAAATTTGAGTTGTGACTATTGACTTGTGACTTGTGACTGACATTCTCATTGACAAATTGACAAGGTTGATTTGACAGAAGAAAAAATTACGATGTGAGTCAAATCAACTGTTCTTTTGTATTCTTCTAAAAACATACCGCTCGAAATTCGATAGCAGTTTCGAAACAAAATAGTGATTTATTGGAATTAATATCTGAGATTTGTGATCATAGTGAAGCTATTTTTTTTTTCATTACTCTCTTATTTGAAATATAACACTCCTTTGACTCACATCGTATGTATTTGGACCAATCGGAAACAAGTTGAGGTGTTAAGTCGCGCTCATCCACATCATGGCTGTCAGTATAAATTTGTTCGTAGAACGATGAACTTCCCCTCTGTGAAATCTGCATATAAAAACACTGTTTTATTATTTATTTTATTGAAAACTCTGGTAATTTGTGCCAGAAGTTACAGCATGAAGTCACAAATCAAATGATCTCTATTTACTGCTGGTAAGTAGCTAATTATTATTGTAATAGTGATATTGTCATGACATAAATTGCAAAATCAAATTCCACCTCATAACAACCATAATTGAAAGGAAATGGATATTATGAAAACTTTGCAGTTGATATTTGTCTAGTAATAGTTTTTCGGTATTGACGAAAAACATAATGATGTTATGTTATTCTGTAATGAAAAATGTATTTCTAAATTATATTCCAAGTACCTACCTGTATCAAAATACATATTTTTCCACCTAATAAAAATAATAAAAAATAGGCCAAGTATGTTGAGTTGAGAGGCATGTTAGAATTTTAACTGAATCAAGCATATGGCTTGAAGATACCAATTCTATTTTTTTTTCAGATTTCTTTTTACATAGGAGGTAGAAAAAATGACTTCTAGTAGGTAAGTTTTTAGTTGAACTGTAAATATTGATATTGTTGATTACAAGGCAACTCATAATTCATCTTAAGTTTATTTTAATTCAGTAAATGAAAGTTGACTCACTATACCTACCTAGTTCCATGTTTTGTATATTCAGGTTGAGTTCTGATATCACTGATCAATTTCTTCCTATGATTTAAAACTAATCAGGACATTCAATTGAGCTAGCCTACCTTGTATAATTTAGAATATTTATTTGTTTATCTATTTATTTATTTGTTTATTCATTTTATTTATTTATTCATTTAGTTATTTATTTATTTATTCATTTATTTATTTATTTTTTGACAGGCGAACCCAGTGTAAATAAAAACATAAATATATAGCCTTTACAACAGGTTTCTAAACAAATCACAGAGAACATGGATATTCATAAAATAGTTCCACCAATCAGAAATTTATAATTATATTCATTTCCAACTTCAAAATCAAGGCTATACGGTTATACATCATCTCAAACTCCCTGCACAATTACAAATCGCACCAGTTTAACAGAATAATCCTCCCGCTTCGCGGTCGGATTATTTCTTCTCTTGAATTAATACTTTGTAATTATGCAACAAGTTATCAATATATAACCCGAATATGTTGAAGTACTTGTACTATTTACCTGGGTATTCACTACTGATTATTTTCTTCATATGATTTTAAACCAATCAGAAAAAGTTCTATTGAGTTGAGCAACCTTGTATAATTTCGAATATTCATGGATATACATAGAGAAACTTCACAAATCAAAAATTCAGAATTATTTCCATAGTAACCAATCCATATTGTTACATAGAAACAATAGTGTTGTTACATAGAAACAAAAGCGCGTCATCGAATTATGACGTTCATTCAGAACTACTGAAAAAATATTCTCATCAAATACAATTCAAACTTCAAAATTTTCGTGGTCGGATTATTTCAACTGTTAAAGTAACACTTTTTGTAATTATTCAATAAGTTATCAATGTATAACCGGAATATTTTGAAGTACTTATAGTATTTACTACGGATTATTTTCTTCATATTATTACTTTTACACCAATCAGAACTTTCAATTGAGTTGAGCTACCTTGTATGATTTCGAATATACAGTGTGACCCACTTCTAAAGGAAACACCCCTGTATCTTATGTAACCGTTGGGTAAGGATCCTGAAATTTGCTGCAGCGAGAGATAGATAGCTACAGAAACTGTACTCTATGACCAAGTGGGGTCGTTTTCAGTGATATACACTGCTCGCCAACAGCCATTTCTCGGAAGCACCCCCGTATCTTACATAATTGACTTCATCTTTGGACTTTCCCTTCCTCCTGCAAATTTCAGAACCCTACCACAATAATTACGTGAGATACGGGGGTGCTTTCATGAGAAGTGAGACAAAATTTGATTTTTTTGAACTGAAAATTTTCTAGGAAAACTATGAATAGGAATTGGGCGTCCTGATTCCGAATCCGAAGTGATTTTCAACCTATTTTGACTCCTAATATAATTTTCCTGAAATTGGGGTGGTTCCATGGCTGTTGGCGAGCAGTGTATATCACTTGGTCATAGAGTGCATTTTTGGTATATCTCTCGCTCCAGCAAATTTCAGGATACTTACCCAACGATTGCGTAAGATACATGGTTGTTTCCATTTGAAATGGGTCACACTGTACATGGATATACATATTACGTTTGTTCCTGTTCTAAAATAAACAGTTCCAAACCATCTGGAGCATGGACAGTTTCACAGAACTGTTGGTATCTTTCATGCTCATGTATTAATCTCCCTAAGATACATTCGAGAAATGTTCCTATTGATAAATGCATTTCAAATTATTGTATTAACGTTTTATTATCATTTGGCAAAAAATCTCGAATCAAGGGAAGTAGAAAAAATCGCTCCAGCAAGCTCTTGCGATTTTTTCCCGACGTTGATTCTCTCTCTTATGTGTATTTACCTCCCAATGTCAGTGTCAATTTTTATTACCAATTTCATTCAAATCACTTGAAACGTTGCATAGCAACAAACTTTTGCTACCTAGGCAGAGAAAGTACACCTTTGCTACCTTTGAAGTGTCATGGAAAAGCCACTTTCGATGCCATTCGGAGAATTTCGTTTCTTCTGCACACTGTCAAATCATAATCGTCAAAAACCCAAAAAGTCGTTTCACCGTAATAAAAAGTTTTTTTCGCCTGCATCATCTTTTTTTGGAGTTCTTAATAACATAATTCCACCCCTGGAAATTAAGTCTTCTCATTTAACCCCTCTCAGTTTTCTTCACTGTCCCACTACACTATGTATCTTGATTGTTATTTGTTCATAAGAATAAGGACGTTATTTATTAACCCGGCGTCACCCAGGTGGAAAATCGGTACATTCTCACCCAGATGGGGTCTGATGTACCCCATAATTAAAAACTCGAGGAAAAAAAATCAATTGTAATATTTCCAGATTTGTATGTGAAATGAGTTTTTGTATTCACTTCATTATCATACACAGAAACTTTTTATAATAAGTTCAAGTCATGAGATATCATGGAAGACATATAGATGGCGAAATTCTCACTGGTTAAAAAATATACAACACTCAATTCTAAGAGATTTCATGCACTAAATTAATACAAAATTTCCCCATATGATGCGTCATTTATTATACTATTTATTCCTGAAAGATATCAATTTCTGAAAGATGTGATGATATACAGGATTTACTAATTGAAAAACGGAGAAAAAGAAAGTAGATGCTTGATGCTGATTTGAACAATGAAGAAAATGCATACCCTGAAAATAAGAGATTTATAACCTCTATCCAAGTTAAGTATAGGAATTTACTAAATACCCCTATTCCCTGAATGTTTCGTATTTTGAATACTTGAATGTTATAAAATAACGAACAGTAATAATTATTCCAATATTGGGAAATTATTAATATTTATAATGACCCATTATAGGCAGGTACTTGATGCTTTTGCAGGTTGCCAATATATTATTTTTAATTGAAACTGCATACAAGCTAATGAGAAGCATTTGAATAGTCATTGATAATCAGTAGGATGGAAGTGATCAGTTATCATAATGAATATGGCATATTCTTATCGGCACAAACAATGTAGTGTGGGCTGATTATGAATTATCGTTACATTTCTTCACATAATCGACACAAACGACTTCCTCCTATTAAAATTATGTCACTATACGAATGTTTGTGAGGGGCAAATTATCATAGGCATGTGTTTCAATTTTTTATGTTTACTGGCATTCTCCTGTCGGTATCGATACCTAAATTATTGGTGTAGACATTATTTTGTTTACTAATGACATAGATTTAATGAGTTAGCCTTACAAGGTGATACTATCGCACTATCGGGGTACCAGATTTTATACAGTATGTACTGTTTTGTATAGGGATTCACCGATACCGATATCTGTATCGGTAAATCTGCCATATCGGCCTTCTTGGCCTATCGGCCGATATGTAAAGAAAAAAATCGGCGTATATCGGTATCGGCTTATAAAATAAATAGATAAATATTTCAGTTACTAAGGTTCTTTCGAGGGTTCTTTCAAGGGATTTTTTATAGAAATTAAATCACAAATACTGCTAAAAGTATATTATTATTTGAAATATTCGACAAAAAAGTCATTAAAAATTAAAATGTAAAAGTAGATAACGCACCAAGGTCAGAAAATTAATACTTAAATTTGAGTTTTGGCAATTAATCATGTAACAAAATCAAGTTTTCTCCTCTTTACGGAGTTTGACGATTTCATGAGCTTTCATATTCCAACTTTGTACATCATTGGAAAAATGTCTCATTTCTGCGCCCACCAAGTCAAAAGATGTTCATTACTTGATATCATTACTAATTCATTTACATTTTAATCTGATTATCAATTTTATTGAGCATACCAGTACTTTATTTATACAGGGTGTCCCATTGGGAAACGAAAAGATTATGCTTCTTTCGGAATGGGCATTGTTCAACATTTTCATAATAATAGTTGTTTTAAATGTAGTATAATAAACAAATGTTATGATAATTTTATAATAATTTTTTCACACATACAAGTTAGTCATTTATTATAGTAATTTGTCCCAAATACGCACATTTCCTCTCGTTTTCAATTAGGTTGGGATCCAAAAATTAGGAGAATTAAAATAGTTGGTTTTATGGATTATAAATGGTAAAAAGTACCATTTGGGACCACACATATATTTTTTTGAATTTTGTGCCACCTCATTATTGAAACCTCAAGATGTTGTTTCTTAGGTTATATTGAGGTCATTGGCGTATCATACGTAATTTCCATATGGAATTTCTGATTCAACTATACCAAGATATAGTTGAATAGAGTTTACTACTCCAGCATAATCTTTGCGAGGTAGGGAACATATAATTTGTACTAAAAGCTTAATATATTTCACCAAAAGAGACTGTTCTTAGACTGTATACCAGGGTTGACTGAATTGACTGAATGAATTCTGATTTCAAGCTGAGCAGTAGTTTAACTATGAGCTGAATGAGCTGAGATTTATGATTGAGAAATGGTGAAAACCTCGATGTGGGTATCTGAACTACTGTACTCATGTCATGTGGGCTAAATACTGTCTGTAGGTTAATCGAGGAGGTGGTACATTCATTTTACTTGGTTCTTTGGGATTTTCTCTCCTCGTTTCTATAAAATAAAAGTATTCGTATTATCTCAATATATTTGTAGAGGGACAAATCAGATGATTTGCCCCAAAATGTCACTGCGTTTAACAAATTTTTCTATCAGGGAGTCTAAAAGAAAAATCCAGTAGCTTGTCAGTGACAATTTGTTTGAAAAAAATTTTGAAGGAAAGAAATATAGATATATTGAAAAAATATCGAATTTGTACTTATCTTTGGACGTTTCGGGACCGATTCTGCTCCCGTTCTCAACATGTAAATGCAAATTATTTTTCTTTGAAAGTTGTGCTGCGTATAGTTTGACACTTTTCAATGT